TAATTACTTATTAAAATATTATTTTATTTTGTATTTTTACTTTCAAATAATTATTTTTGTTTAAGTGAATACACCCAACATTAGTTTTGTGTTCTACAAATAATTTTTTGTCTCAATTTTTAAAGTAAACATCATAAATTAAACTTATACTCTAGTTATCTAACAATGCAAAATAAACACATATGTTGTCTCTTAAAATTGTAATAGGTGGTTACAGTTTTTATCAAACTCATGTATAATAAATTTATTGTTGTTTTCCAAAAACAATCATATTGTTACAAAACAATTAATTTAAGTTTCATATTCATGCTTTGTAACTTAAGCATTTATTTTATCTTCATTCCAACATCCGTGTGTATAACAAACATGTTTATACGATGTAATAACATCATATATTTTTTGCATATTAAAGTATTATATTTTCACTCCAAAACTTACTATTTTTTGCACACTTACTCTATATTTATCATGTTTGTTCAAGACTTTCAAACTCTAACATCATATATTTGTTCCTTTTGCACAAAAAAAAAATGAAAACATGAGTGATTAAATATTGATTCCTCTAACAATTAATCTTAAATGAAAATAAAGTGTAAAATAACGGTGCACTTTTACACAAAACATAAATGCTATAAGTGAAAACAAAAAAAAAATATTGGTTGAATAATTGTGTGTTATAAGGTTGGAAATCAAATTGCTTAGAAAAATTTAAGATATGGGTGTTAAATAGGTTATTTTTTCACCCAAACTTATTATAAGATTTATTAGTTTAGTATTTAATATCAGTATAATGAGAGCTTCTAATAGGGATGAAAATAAATTAGGTTATACTAAGTTTTATATAAATAAATATAACTTATTTAATAAATTTAAAATATAAGTCTAACCTATTATTTGTTGTACTTTTTTTATTGAATACAATCTAACATTTTTAAAAACATAGTTTAGTGTATTAATATTTAAAAAAAAATCGTATTAAAATATTTAATAGGTCATTAAAACTCTTTAAAAATAGGTTATTAAACCATATAAATAAGTATGTTTATACAAATATCATAAAATTTATATTTAAATAAACCATAAAAAGATGGTCTAACATCTTAAATATTAATAATAAAATTATATATTATAATTTATCACTTTCAAATCATGTGTTTAATTTAAATGAATAAACTACTAAACATACAACAAATACAATTGAATGAACATTAATCCACAAATTATTAAATAATTACACTAACATAAAATTTTACACCTAAAATCAACAAAAAAAATACAATTAAATAAATTTTAACTTAAAATTAACAAATATAACAAATAAAAATTTAAAATATATAAATATCAATATCATTTTAAAGTAAAATGTTAAAATATTATTAAAAAAATATGTATCAAGCAACAATAACATGCAAAAGACTCATATGAGTATAAGACTTTCTCTCTCAAAATATATAGTAAATGTAGTTTCAACTCTAACTAAAAAGACTAATTTTTTTAATTGAATTTTATTCAATTTAGATTTATCTATTTTTCTTTTGCTTAAGTTTAATTAAATATGTTTAGATGCACTTAAGTATTACTTAAACAAATATTAATTAATTTTACTTAAATAAATTTAAATTTATTAAAATAAATATTAATTAATCGATGATATTTGCGCAAAAATTGGAGGATCCAATCCTATTTTGCCGCAGGCTTGATTAGGATAAATGTGCATTGGCTTTTTTGTGGGCTGTTTTGTTTTCTTTTAATGTATGATTTCCTTTTCACCCAAAAAAAGGAAAAAGAAAGGAAGGGGGCCGCAGCTATGGCTGAGGCTATGGTCCAACAATCACATGCAAAGCGTTATGGTGTGAAGGCCCTCTCTTCAATTGTTCAAAATCACGTGCCCATTAAATGTCTATATTTAAGGTTCTGTGGGCCCCGCAATTATTGGTCTGCATCTCGAATCCAAGTTGCAGATTGCAGATAAATAACCGGATTTTCCGGCTCACCGTTTAATATTCGATATGAGGTGCATGATGAAATTAAATTATAGTGAGTGAATTTATTTTTGAAATTTTTTTTATATATAAAAACTCTAATTTAAAATTTTGTTTAAATAATACTGAAATTTTTATTTAAATAATATTGAGCTGTTTACTGTTTAAATTAACTTTCATTGATTCGGCAGATAATATTTAGATACTATTATTAATAAAGTTTACATTATTTAAATCATTAATATTAAAGAATGACTATTAAGATGATTAATATATTAATTTTTTTAGGCAAAAAAATATATTAAATTTAATTAGAAAATAATATTGATATTATTATTTTTTAATTTATTTATTTTTTTACATGATATTGAACTGGTAATGCAGAATTAATATATATATATATATATATATATATATATATATATTTTAAAAATGCTGAGAGGAAATATAAAATTATTTATATATAACTTGAGCTTTTAAATAACCAAGTTACAATTTTTAGTTCAAATTTAACCTTTTTAAATTATAATATGTCACTTCTTAAAAGCAATTCAAACCAAATATGCTAAAAACTTTTTTTTGTTTTTTGTTTTTTGTCTTTTTCATTATATCATGTAGAATTTTATTTTTATACCGTTATTTCAAAGTCCCGCTTTACTATCCTTCAAGGAAAACCGTGAGATTTTATCACCTTCATTCTTTCTCACTCTTATTAAATATAAATTATTTATAATGTAAAAATATTAAAGTTATAATATAAATTCGTTTATGTTATCTCGATAATAATATTTGAAGATAAAATAATATTAAGCTATTTTTAAAGATAAACTATTTAAAATAAATTAACATATAAAAGAAAATTATTTTAAAATAAACATAGTAGCCAAAATTTAAGCCATGATCAAGTAATTAAATATGTCATTTTGTAGTTATAAATTAGTTTAACAAATTTTTTTATTGAATTATTTTAATTCAATCTTAATTTATTAATTCGTAGTTTCAAAATTTTTCAACATTCGTTTAATTTTTTTAATTTTCAGCTAATTTATTCCTTAATTTTGCTACACTAACGCATCACAAACCATATTAATAAATTATCTTGTAGTAAAAACTTATACCTTCTTTAATATTGTCGTATTTATTAAAAATTAACACTGGTAGCTATCCAATTTTTTTAATGCCAGACATTCTTTGACAACTTCACACTGGTGACCTGTATATAAAGACAAAAAAACTCTCCACATGCATGGCCATTTGCTTATAATCTATCTATAAATAAATAAATAAAAAACTGTTCAGATGCACTGTTATTTGTCAAGCTGTTATATGCTTATATCATAAAGCTCTTACCGTACTATATAACATAGATGCTACTCTATTTTAGAGACAAAGATTCCATTTTGATTTATATTCGTTGAGTATTACACGGTTTTTAAAACAAATCCAATACTTATTATTCGTGCACAGTTTTTTGGACGCGTTGTGATTGAGAAAGTTTCATGCTAAAGAAACGGAGTTTGGAGAAAATCAAATCAAAAGTTTGAATGATTCTTATGCATTGTTATTTTGAGTGTGTATGAATAAGTTTTTTTATTTTTTATTTTGGGTCAAATGAGCGAGTATAAGCTTAAACAATTGGAATTCACTTCTTGATATTGATGGTGTTGATCTATGCACGAAATGCCTCACACCTTTAACATTTTAATCATCCCCTAGTCCCATTGTCAAGTAATCCCTTTGATTATTGGTATTTGGATAATCATCATCAAAAGCGTCAGGGATGTGAGCAATATGGAAAAGTAAATATGTTGATGACTGATAAACATGAAATTTATTTGTTATTGTTCGAACTTATTTCGTAACACTGATACTGTATCATTTTTTTTGTCACGTGATATTGTTTCATCTGAATGTGTCTGCTTCTTTCTCATTTTCTCGCTCCATCAAAGCAAAAGCCCAAAGAGGATGAACAGGAGCGGTGTACAACAAAAATTTTGTTTTAGCGTGGCATTTTTTAAGTTATTTTGCCTCTATACAAAAATGAGTAACGATAGTCTTACATCCCTTCACGAGTGTGAGATGAATATATGGAAGAAAGAGATTGAAAATAAGAGTAAAACAAAAAATGAGTAAGAAACACAATATGCGATGTTACAGAAGAAGAAAGATAAAAAAAAGAAGTATAAATAGAATATTATATTTTTTTAAATTATAACTGTACAAAATATGATATTGTTACGTACATAGATTTTTTGACCTGTTTCTTTTCCGACTCTTAGCAGGTACCCACTCAACATATTTTTTAACAATAAAAGTCTGACACTTGATAATATTACAAAATCAATATTGCATATATATATATATATGTATGTTAAGTAATTTGGAAATAAAATACATAACATTCTATATAATAAAGGAAACTGAAATAAATGTATGTGTGTAAAATAAATTAGAACGTGTGGCAAATAAAATATTCCAAAACTCTTATCTGAGAAAGAAAAATTAATTGTGATTTTTAAATTTGGTGTATAATTAAAAATATATAACTATAATAAAATAAATATCAACAAAATAAAACAACCCACCTAAATTATACTATTATTTATCGCAAATTTTTTACTTGGTTTCAAACCTAATACATTAGACAATAACAATCAGAAATTTTTTTTTGTAAATAACTCACTTAAAGATTTGACTAAATAGGAAATAGGAAAAAAAATCCCTTGCAGTGATAATGTCACTGAAGAAAATCTTAACTCTTGAAATAATAATAATTTTAAAAAAAAATAATAAATGCATAATGAATAATTAAGATTGTCACTGGACTTGGTGCAGTAAACTTACTCCACTAGAAGATCCAAATCCTAAATTCAAAGCTAAAATACATTAAAAATATCAACTTATACAATATTTTAGAATATTTTATATTATCTTTTGCGATAAGTTTACTTATTTTCTTGGTTTCTATATTTTTTTAGTATCTTGTAATTTTCTTTATTTAGTCCAGATTATGATTAGTAGAACTTTTTAGATTTTATTATAAAACAGACACATTTCTCTCCTTTTCCTCTCTCTATACTTCAGCATCAGCAGAAGTCATTTACATCAACATCAAAATAAATAAAGACAAGCCGCTCAATTCTAGGCTGGGTGGTAGTAATCGGTAAGCAAAGTGCCAAAACATATCTGCAGTCTTAAGTGTAGGTCAGGCCACAAGCCACTGGCCAGCACTTTGCATTCTGCAACACAGGTCCTAGTGTCATACATTTATTACTGCTGGCAAGGTTGAGCATCTGAGGTATACAGTACAACTATACACTTCGGTTTTTTGGACAAATATCAGAACAAAACATAAGCTTGATGTTACATTATGAAATAAGATATCCGATAAGCTTGTACTCATACTGTCATGATATGGGTTCACCACCTCCGATGAATATTTTATATTCAACGTATCCATGTTCTAATGGATTTATTATGTGACTACCTTTCTGGAGGTCTGAGACCCATGAAGCTGTAGAAGCAGTGAGTTGCCAACCACAAAGATGGAGCTCAGAGCCATCAATCCTCCTGCGAATAAATATTATGGGTGACATCATTCTTTCGCTGACAACGACCATACTTAAAGCACCGTATAGTAGATGCATAAATTTTAAGAAGATAAACAGAAAGTACAACATAAAAACACAGCCTTATATGCCTCGCTATTATATGAGAAGAATGGAGCAGAGCCACGCTGCTTACCTGAAAGTGACGGTGTCATAGCAAAGTCAAATTGGGGAAGTAACACACCAGCCGCTATGGGAATGGCAACAACATTATAGGCTACTGCCCAAGACAAATTTTGGTACACTTTTGCCATTGTTGCCTGTGCTAGGTCTAGTGCATCAACAACCTGTCAATTACAAAGTTAATAATCTAAGATAATGGAGAACCATAAGGTGGCTTATGCAACAAGACGCACATTACTAAAAGAATCACAACTCTGCAAGGTTGTTATGTGCGGAAGGAGCAGACCATAGTGAAAAAAGAGTCCCATTGTAAACCCAAGTGCGTAGGCAAAGTGAATTAAACCACATGAAGGCAAAACTGCAATTTAACCATAAATAAACTATCCCCACTAAACATATTTTATAACACCATACACCTCGCTTGAGTATGGTATTATAAACAAACGATGAGGGCTCCCTTTCTTTCACCCCACCGTAAACCCTTCTATTCTGTTATACCTTCAGTAGTAAAAGTTAACAAGCCAAAAAAGAAAAAAAAAAAAAAACATTATAGAAACAAGAAGATCATGGTATAATCTAAAAACAACGAGAAAACATTTAGAATTGCCACAAGCGATGAAAGCTTTGTTTATTAAAATTTCACCATCTGCCACCCAATTCGATAACCAAGAAAAAAACGAGTAATATCCTAGGATGCATAAAGGTAAATTAATAAATTTGGAACATCAGAAAAGACTTACTTGTGAAATTCTGTTCCCCAGAAGTATAATAGATGCTGCATCCGAGGCAGCATTCTCTTGAGCTTCATTCTGCAGAGCAATCCCAACATCAGCTACAGCCAAAGAGGGTGCATCATTTATCCCATCACCTACCTTAGAGAAGGGGAGAAAAAATAACGTCTTAGTTAAATGCCATTTCCCTGTTCGTTCTTAGATGGATGTATTAGTTGAGTGATAAATCCACACTATGATGTTTACAATGAAAGCATTTTAGTGTGAAGCGGTTCCATGCGATGCAATTAAGAGCAAACATAAATATCTCATCTTCTTTGAAAATGAAATAAAACAAAATCTAATTCTTTGTAGCTACTAAAACATGCAATATTTAAGACCAAATTCAGTACAACATTACGAGTTCAGCACATCTTTAATCATAGCTAAGGCCAAGACACAAGATAAATAAAGTTTCAAAGAGAGAGCACGTGGGAGTTAAGGGTGGGGGGGAGAACTTGAGTAAGTATAGCTGCATCACCCATCGTACCATCGCAACATGATGTCCAGCAGCTTTCAGAGATGAAATAAATCTAGATTTCTGCTGCGGAGACAAAGATGCTTTGACAAAATCATTTTCAATTCCAATTCTCTCTGCTATTGTTGCAACTGCCTCTTCCCTGTCTCCTGACAGCAGGACCATTTTAATCCCCTTCTGCTTGAGCCTTCCAATAAAGGCAACAAAATCAGACGGGAAATGCACACATAAAGCAAAGAAAAAAAAAAAAACTAGAATTTGGCAAATATTTTCAATAAATGCAGGAAATATGTTAATCCAACGTTTCAATGGGTGACAAAATGGTGCACCATTAGTAGTTCAGGACTTGAAATACTAAGCTTAGGAGGAACTGAAAAAAGTACTGCCCTTACTCCTGAAGGAAGGAAATGAAGTGAACTAACTTCACATTTGGTCTGAAGAAGCAGTAGTTTTATTTGCCTAAAATGAAAGATTTCTGAGGACACATACAGAAAAATAAACACACCTCATGACAGTAGATTCAGCATCATCGCGCACAACGTCAGATATGGCAATAGCACCAATGATGCCTTCTCCTTCACGTCCAACATAGACAACAGTTTTCGAATACTTTGAAGATTTATTCAATGAATGATTCATCAAACTGTGTTCCAGATTTGTCAAATCAGATGGGTTCATTCTTTTCTGGAAGCGATCATGAACCCACTCTAAAGACCCAACTGCAATCAAACGCCCATCTATTTCTGCTAAAGTTCCAAAACCGGGTTCAACTAATTGCCCTTTTGTAACTGGAAGGACCAAATCTAATGACTCAGCTTTATTGACAATAGCCTTTGCTATTGGGTGAGATGCAGTTTTCTCCACTGCAGCAGCAATCCGAAGAATATCTGACTCCCCATAATCGATAGAGCCTATGGCAGACACAACCGGTTTTCCTTGGGTGAGGGTTCCTGTCTGAAAGCGTAGTGTTAGTTAATCTTATATATTGTGTAGGAGGAGGAGAAAAGACAGATAATAGTCTACGAACATGAAATATACCTTGTCTAGAGCAATATAATTTATGCTGGCCAAGCGTTCTAGCACATCCCCTCCTCTAATAAGAAGTCCTTTTCTTGCCCCTGCTCATTGGCAACACGTATTAAGCCTATCGTGTAGTTAAAAAAAAAAAACCACAAAGGTTGAGAAACTTTATGCCTGATTAAGAGACAAGTAGTAATATGATTTACACAAAAATTTCTCAAGTTTAAGCATACAAGAGAACTAGAGAAGACACCTAATGCCTGATTAAGAGATAGCAATAGTTGTGATTCTTGTATCGTCAATATATATTTATAGAACCATAGTTGATCAAGAGGTATAGTAAAAAGGAAGAAATAAAAAAAATAATGAAACAAATAATAAAGGAACACCCAGCGTCGATCAATTTTTCAGAGGAAGAGAAAAATTGAAAATTGAAAAACCTCTGTATCAAATAAAATAAAGCAATAATATTTGAGATAAGAAAAATGTTAGCAACACATCCTGTTCATTTTTCTATATATTTTACATTAGTGAAAAATTATAAGAAACTCATTAAATAAAGTGAAATTCACTTTAGTAACTCATACATGAATGTCATAAAGGTGTGTAACATTAGATTAGAGAGTAACTTTAAGAACAAGGTGAACATAAATAAAATTTTCTTACACTAGTGTAAGTCTAAAAAATTCTTATTTATCTGAACTTTTTATTTAACTTATATTTAATGAGTTATAATTTATTATTTTACTAACTGTTAAATATAAGTTAAATAAAAAACTCAAATCAAAATTTTTAAATTTCTACTAGTGTTATATATATATATATTTTACATGCATGTCACTGTTTAAGTAACTTTTAACAGAAAGCATAACTAACGTACCAAGTGAGGTGCCAACCAGGATTGCTGTCGGTGTGGCAAGACCCAATGCACAAGGACAAGAAACAACCTACAAAGTGGGGGCCAAGACTGCTTGTTAGAAATTAACTAAAGTAAATTACAAACACCAACACTCATTGTTGTCTTGCGTGAAAAATTTCTTTTCTCAAGAATAATGTCAAAGTAAACTTGCTTTCACGTACTGATTTACGTGACTATTTTTTCTTCCTCTTTAATTCACACCATTCAGTTTCAGATAGAAAACATCACAATTACTACCTTACTCCATGTCATAGATTTGACTCGGGTGGAGAGTCTTGCAATAACTGAAGATTTTTAAGATAAAGAACATGCAAAGTTTTGTCAGGCACATCCTAATCAACAACAGAAGCTGAAAGCTAGTAAAAAGGGAATGCTTCATCCTCAGGAGATGGGGAAAGAAAAGTCAATAGGGTCCAAGTAGTTTTAATTGCAATCTTGAAGCACAAACTGTAAGTAAGGGGACCTAGAGTTTAGAATCACTCACCAATACATCTACAGAGAGCTTTAAACTCAAAAGCAAAGGATCTCCTTCTGGACCAGCAATATCATTGAGCAAAACATCAGGAAATATGTGTGATCCAACGAAATACCTAGAGACAAATGCAGCAAGTTTGTCAAAGGCAATGGGTAACATGAACTATTCATTAAGTCATTTACTTGGGAAAGTTAAATGTGCATATTCTAACAAGCACGGGCACAGCTTTAATACTTTTGAAGTGTCAAGGTCACATAGGTAATACGTTGGATAACATTAATATGTCATAGTAGAATAATATTAGTCATGCCGTGTCAAATAAGGCCCACCACCATTTAGGATCACTGGCGCAGATCATAACCATGCCAACAGAAAAAATTGTATGGAAACATAAGTAATTACCAAAATGCAAATGTTGCTGCTGACAGAGTCATTACACTGTATACAAACGGCCCTGCTATCGAATCTGCAAGCCTTTGTACAGGTGCTTCACGTGATTGAGCATCCTCAACCTGAATTTCACCAGATAAAGCTGTAATGTTGCAGAAACTTTCTCTACAAATGTTTGAGTTCCACATATCCCAAGTCAATGGCCTAATCAGCAATGGAAACTCAAAATCTTGCAATAATCATTAATTATAATCCGTTGATGCATGATTCTAATAGTTGAACGAAGCAAAGCAATCATACAATATGTTTGGCACCACATTGTCCTAAAAACCTATAACAACTAGGAATGCATAAAATTACACTCTTAACTTGGAAAAAATACCGTAATAATCTCATTAACATTATGCAGCACCTCACCCTAATGCTTGGTATTACAGAAGATGGGATATTAAGTTACTAACCATGCGTACAATCTTGGATATCATTGTGTTGGAGCCAGTTGAAGAAGCTTCAATCCTTAAAGGACCATCCTGAAATAGAAATTTGTTAATGGAACAATAACTTACTTCCTGATCAAAAGTAGAAGAATTGAAATCACTTATGTGCCCCGCACGTGAATTTAGTAAGGCAGCGTAAACTTCAATATTAATTTCAAGTCTTACCCAATTTATAGTTCCTGCTGAAACTGTGAGGCCTTTTTCCTTAAATACAGGAAGTGATTCACCTGTTAGCATTGATTCATCTACAACGCTTCTTCCTGAAATGACCCTTCCCTGCTCATGAATTTCTGAAGTTAGATAGCAACAACATACGAACCAACAAATTTCTTTATATATTCCATCTTAAATCATGAAGGGAGGCCTCCAATTTTAAGTGTATAGATTTGAATGACTGCTGTAACCGGCAATGTCATTATTGCCACAGATGGCAGATTGGCCCATCCAAAATAAAGCATTTAGTCCTAGGGACCACAAACAGAATGTGCACGATCAATATAGACACTTCAGATGCCCTTAAACCTGAATTCAGGTACCACACATATATAGCTTTAAAGGTTTGTTTCAATTAACATAAAAAATTTCCGCTGCCAATTAGAAAGGCTTACATCTATAGGGATAGTTTCTCCAGGCAGCACCAACACTGAGTCACCTACTCGAACATCATCAGTAGGGACTTCAACACAAATTGCGTCAGAGCAAAGCACAGTGTCAGTAGATGGCGAACCTTCTGTTGGAGTAATCACAAGTCTTGACTGAGTAGATATCAGTGACTGGCAAAACATCCACCAGAGTGTAATTATGTAAGAAAAAATAATTAAACCTACAGTAAAATACGACTCTAAAAAAATGCCACTCTTTACAAGAAAACTATAATTTGATGCTTCATTTTTGTAAGAGCCACTTTTTCTTATAACTAAGTTCCAGTTCTAGGATTATTCATTTTTCTGAGAAATAACAATTGATCAGAAAATGGAAGAAAGTGCAAGTTGAATAAGATTTGGTTTTTAAATGGAAAACCAATATATCGTAGAGGAATGCTCATGGCACACTTTTCAACATACTCTTTTTTACAAAACAATTTTTCAAAAGTCATCAATTTACAAGGTAAGTGTATTTATTGACTTAAAAGTGGACTAATCACAAGAAGTGTACTGAAAAGTATACTCAAAAGAGTACATTGCTAGCATTTCTCCTATATTTTGTCTTATTATGCAGTAACCTGCAAAGGCCATTTAATGATCGAAACGAAGACAGTCATAGATCAAAAGTCTGTTCCAGTAATGTAGGAGCAGTTAGGCTTCGAAAGACTAAAGTATCACGTAACCCTGTTGATGATGCATTATCAACATACCCTACAAAATGTGTAACACTCTGTTCTTGTAAACACATATGATTCCATATAGCAAATAACAAGATATAGGAATCCTATTTTGGTGGAATATTATCTGACAAAAGAGGCGAACAACACTGCAACTTACAAGAAGTTCATTCATATCACTAGATGCCTGAATCCTTGCCTTTTCCTCCAGAGAACGTCCTAGAAGCACGAAACCAAGAAGCATGACCTGCATGCTAAAAGACACATTCCTTACATAAGGAGCTTATAATCAACATGAACGTAAGAAATGCCGATAAGACAAGGCATAGCATATTTAATGGAGGTAAAAGGTTGTTAAATCTAAACAAACAACATCGCAAGCCAAGGTGAGTTGTAATTTATTCTTGCTTGGCTTAACGTGGCAGTGGGAAATTCTCATATGACAAATATCAGGACATTTAAAAGTAAAGAAAGTCACCGGTTCATCAAAGAATGATGCATTCCACGCTAGGCCAGGGTTAAGTAACGAGATCTGCAACATAGACGAATTTCAAATTAACAACACATAAAACGAACACAGAAATTTAGCTGTCTTGTGACTTAATGGAACACTCAAAAATCCCTGATAGAATCTCACCAAACTAATGATGAAAGCGGCTATAGAACCAAATCCCACGAGAGAGTTCATATTAGGCGATCCCTTCTTAAATGCGTTTAGGCCATCAAAGAGTAACTCTGCAACATTTTCAAAAGTCTAGTACATTAAGCATATTGTAACACTACGAATACACGGTTCTTCAATACATGAACATGATTCTCCTAAACAATTCAACACTTCAAGATGGTTCTTCAAAAGAACTGGTTGCTATATATCCACAACCGAAACGTAACAAGACTCGAACTAACCTCGTCCTGGTCCCAATAAAGACCCCAAAGCTAAACCACCTTTCACGTACGAATTATGAAGAATTTCCAAAAGCGGTCCTACGAAACGAAAAGTAACTTCGCATTTAATCAAATTTTGCAGGTGAATAGTGAATAACGAACATTGCATATTTGATTCGACCATTACCATGAGCAATGTGAATTCCTAAAGAATGAAAAATATGCGAAGCGTGCGAGCCACAGCACAATGCGACCAAAGTCCAAGCGAATGCGACACGGCTTCGATTCCTGGCGACCAGTTCCTCCTTCTTCTTCACCAAATCCTTCCACTTCCTCACGTTTTCCGCCACTCCTAAACCCGACGCCCTACTCTTCGTTGGGAATCCGCAATCGCTCAATCTCCGAGCGAGGCTCTCAGCAACACTCGCTGGTTCCTCCTCGAGTCGCCACAATTTGACAGCGGCGGTCTCAGTCAACATGTTGACCACGACTGAGTCGACACGGTCGTCGGCGGATAAGATGTTTTTGACTCGGGAGACGCAAGCACCGCACATCATACCACTGACGTCAAGTAAAACTGGCGAGTCTTTGCTCTGTCCCTGGCCTTGAAGGAGATCTGATTCCGCCGATCCAATCTCAGTCCTGAAGGAACTCGATACGAAGAATGGTGGCCGGAGAATCTGACGGCTGTGGCGATTGCGGCTGCGACGCCGTTTTGTTGGGAGAAGAGAACTGAAGTGGACGGCATGATTGGGTGCATAATTGAAGCAGAGTTTGGGTTGCGGGGAAAGAGAAAGGGTGAAGAGATGAGTAGCCATAATCGGAGAGAAGAGAAGGTGTTGTGAACCACGCAATTTTCATGTTACCTGCTAAATTTCTCAATAAGGTAGAGCCGTTCGTTGAATATTTCAAACAGTTCCAATCAAAATGCGACACGCGTCTCATTCCGTAAGCAACTTGGCGGCTAGCAACAGAATTTTCTTACCTCTTTAATATATGGAATTATCAGCTATGTGATTTTGTGAATTTTCAATACGTTTGAAGATTTGTAGGCTTTCATGACTCATAAGTGTTTACTTGCTTGTATGTTCTTGAGTTGATGATATGTTGAGCTAGTGTTGTTTTTAGCTTAAATATACTTTAATGTTTATATTAATAGCATAATTTTTTATTTGAGATAATAAAGTCGTCAATCTTTTATAGAGTTTAAATACAGGTAACGCACGGTTTAGGTATACAAGTATTTTTACATAGTATAACTTAACTAAATATAGTTTATAAAATTTTAGAGACGTGAGTGTAAAGAGCTTGACCATGTAAATTATAAATATGAATCCCTTAAAATGAATGTATCAATGTATGGAGTTCATAGAGGCATTCAACCAAGTTGCACTTGAGAGTTGTTGGTGGCTCATTTTCAGCTTAGGCTTTTCTGAACTAGCACAATATTATATTAATTTGGAATCCAAATATTTTTTTAGGAAAATTAAGATACTTATATTTAATATCGAATGTATTCACTAAAGAATATTTGTAGGAAAAAAAATATAGATAAAAACAAAAGTTTAAATCAACCTAATAGACATTAAAGCCTAAAACATTTTATTTGTCCAAGTGAAAGTGTGTAAGAAATAAATGAGAGAGAAAGAAGTGAAAAAAAAATCTATTTGAGATGAAGAAAAAAAAAGATGCAAGTTTTAGATAAAGGATAATGAGATAATTATATACAAAACTTAATTTCTTTTAATGATTTTTTATTTAATTAAATAGGCAGAGATAAAATACATTTCTCCCTCTCTCTCTTAAATTTAAACAGCTTAAAATTTTCTTATTTTTTACTCATTCCTGCTGTTTCACATTTTTGTCCACCTTCCTTTCTTCTGTAATTTTCACATCTAAGAGCAAATTCTATTTGAAGTTTTAGGATATAATTACTTATTAAATTGGCGAGAGATAAAATATTTAAATTTTATAAGTTATAAAGACGAGAATTTTAAAATTATGATGAAATTAAATATGTAAATTATGACATTATTGATATTAATTAATTCATTATTATACGTGAAAATTTAAATTTATGAAATCAAAATTAACAATTATGAAAAGTCTTAATATTGACAATCTACAAAGTTACGATTGATTAAATTAAAATCACAATCTTTAATAACAATGAAAAAAAAAATTCTCCCAACTATTACTCTAATTTAAAATAATCCCTGAAAGAAAAGTTATAACAATTGAGAGGAAATATAATATTGAAAATGATTTATTTTATTATGAAAAGAGAAGAGTGTGGATATTTTATTTGGGAGGATTATCTTTTCCCTTTCCCTGTATAGATGCGCTAGCGTTATCCTCTGAGCTTGGACAACCTCAACTGAAGCGAAGAAGAATGGGTGTGAATGCGAATGAATGGTCTAAGTCGAGTGAGATAGAAACTAAGGTGTGGAATTGTTGGGGAAATGCTCAAATACCATTTGCACTTCCCTTTCTTAAACTCCCCAACTCTAATTTGGCCACTCCTCAACTCCACACTTGCATCGCCACTGCAGCTGATCATTTTTTCACGTTTCTACACTCCCTCGCTTCACAAAATCCCATCCTCAACAAAGTTGTCTCTTTCTCCGCTGAATTTCAAACATTTTGGACGCAGGTAATTCATAACTTGAATGATAAATTAAAATGAATGAGAAGCCTTATCTGGTATTGATGGATGTTTGGATTCAGATTCGGTGCAGTAACTACAGGAACATGAGGTGGTTGTCCAGTCATAATTTCGCTGCAGTTTTACCTGGGGATTCGGTGGCAGGGATTGTGGTGGCTAATGGACTTATAAATTTCTTCAACATTTACAATACCTTGCTCATTGTAAGGCTTGTGTTGACCTGGTTTCCCAACACTCCTCCTGCCATTGTTAGTCCCCTCAGGTCAGCCTTTTCTTTAATCACATCATGCTTTTAATATTCTCTTAGCTAGTTTTTCCAGATTGGTAGCTTTGTTTTTTTTAAGGGTTTTGTTAAGAGTTGATCTATCCATAAACATAAAATCTTTATTAAAAATATATATATTTATTATATTGAAGTTATAAAAGTAGAATAAATATTTTTTAATAAAATTTTGTAATTATTAGGTGTTTATATTTAGACTAAGAGTTGAGTTAACAATATTTTTAAATATGATATTAGAGGTTATTCACTTCGGTTTTGATAATTATATTTTTTTAATTTAATTTTTAAGAGCAAGAAGTTAGGTTTATCTTATATGAAAGCATCCATTTCACATTTTCACCGATGAAAGATTTTGTTTTGGCATTTTGGTTTTTATGTGATTCAATATTCACCTTTCCATTGATAAAATATGCTTAAAGTCTTGTGTCTAGTTATCATAACTTGTGATGTACTTGGAAGTTTGTTTCTTTTATTTTGTCCCTCATGCATCAAGTAATCATAATGATTAAGATAGCAGATATATATTTTGATAGTATACGCAGATTTAAGTGGTTAAAGAATTCTGCATGTGTTAAATAAAATGATTATTGTTTGATTCAGCACCATATGTGACCCATATCTGAACATATTCCGTGGACTAATTCCCCCTCTGGGAGGAACGCTGGATCTCTCTCCCATCCTAGCATTCTTGGTCCTAAATGCCTTCACTAGCACTGCTGCTGCACTTCCTGCGGAGCTTCCAGCCACAGAACAAGGTGTTTCAGCACAATTACAGGCTACTTGCGTTACTGCATCACAGAAGAAATGGATGAGACGGGTTCAAGGAAACAGGTCAAAGACGTCCAATTGGGCCAAATAGAATTTAGAAGGGTTTACTTGTGCCTTTAGGTGTTTATTAATTTAGATAAGTCTGTGTTTATATGATGGTTCTAGGCAACGCAATTTTCGAGCCTGTGATTCCGGAGATTGTAGAGTTTGCTGTGGAAAGCTCGGGCTGCCACAGTCACAGTTTATTTTATTTTGTGCTTTACAATACACACATCCCATTGTTTTAATTTAATCCTAAGGTACTTCTTTTCTTGGGTCAACAATTCTAAGGTGCTTAAATGGCGGGACTGGAGCGATAACTGGCTCGAGAGCAACAAATTAATAGCATCTTCCAAGAGTTCGAACGCACTGGTAAGACCACCAGTTAGATTACCGAGTAATCATACCATGTCATTCATTTAAATTTTAATAAAATTATAATACAACTCCTTAATTTTTTTAACACTTAAAGTGATAAGTTTTTACAACAAAAACATTTATTACAAGCAATAAATGATATTTTAATAAAAAAATTATTACTTTTAGAGGTTTAAAATTAAGAAAAACGTTAATATCAGTTTTTAAGATGAGTTTAAGTAACTAAATCCTAAAGATTGGTATTATTAAAATTGTAAATTTGAAAGGGATGTAAAAAGAACATGTGAAGACGATGAGGATAATAAGAAAAAAAGAAATTGAATTAGATCGGCGGAAAAGTGGAACAAAAGTAGAAATTAATTTAAAATATTGTTAATAGACTTTAAATCAAATATTCGCGCTAAAAATTACTGTCAGTCAATCTTAGAAAATTTCCGTATAGGATTGCAGTTCATCAAAATTTGTAAATCTATATGTAGAATCACAATCACATCAGTACTTTTCTTATTATATTCTCCCTCTGTATTCACATACTATTCAACCACTGCAGCACAAAAGGGTTTTTTTTTTTCTCCTCAAACACTTCTTCTAGCAGGTTCCTTTTCTATATTCAAGCTATGTATTTCTCTGGTCTGAATTATTTCATCTCAACATGATTCGGCTCGAATTGGTGACGTTGTATCGCAGACATTCGTGAAGGTTCTTTATTGCAGAAACGGCATTGGATTCCAAATGAAATTTTAGCAGAGCAGAGAATATTATGCTTTGTCAATGCAGAATCTTATTCGTATCCATACAATGTAACAACCGAAGCTTTATTAGTAACATACATTATCTAGTCTGCCTGCACTTTATATTCATCATCTTATTATATAGAAAAATGTAATTGTAATTTTCCTAACAGTACCCAATGCAATAATATCATTATTAAAATTGTGAATTAACCTATGATGGGGTATTCTAGAATTGATTTTTTCATTCTTTCCGAAAATGTTATCTTGCTGTCTTTACTCTTTCCTCTCCCAAAATTAGTACTTGTATAATGAAAAAAATAATAAGCGAGTGTGTAGCCGAAGCTTTTTAACGTTAATGCTAAACTTGACATTTGGGTGGCTTTTCCACAACAGTTCCACTTCAGAAGAAAAAATTAGCCCAGATAGAGAGAAGCAAGGTGACACATAATACAGTGAATGGAACTTGGAGCTTGCAGAAGGAGAAGCATATTTTCATCATATGAGAGACTGGCTGCTATAAGCTTGGTGGTTCTAGCTGTGGTTTCTCCTCTCTATATAGATCGCAAATCAGAGTGTGATTTGGAAGATGAAGAGCAACCCGTCAACGTTGATGTTTGGTTACCTTTACTACTATTTCTATTGATTCTGGGCATAGCTTTGTCAGCTTTCTTTGACCAGAGCTTTACAGGGTTTGATCGTTATTGGATTCATAGAGTTTTTGGTTCTTCTGGTGGTATTGTTGTGATTCTTACTGTTCTTTTTCTTATTTTGAAGTTTAAATCGTCTTTGTGATGCTCAAGCTGTGTATTGTAAGGTATTAAATAGTATGTAAGAATTTCTTTTCCCATATGTTTGTGGACTTTAATAGTCACTTTATGATCTTAATATGAGAGAATAAAACATCATCTGAAGTTTTGATAGAAATTGGCTAAATATAAAGGGGATTGGTTACTACAGAAAGTACTTGGAGTTGAAGGTGAATGATTAAAGTAATTGGAGTTATTAAGAGTTAGATGGGACAAATAATTTAATTAAACATTTATTTGATAATTTTTTTATTACATAAGAACTTATGTAAAATTGATTATAAATTTTATTGAAATAAACAGAAAAAATATTTTAATATATTATATCAATACATTTATAAAATTCATAAATTATTTTTATAAAGTCTCTATAAGTTCTTCAAATGTCTCCTAACTCATTCATAAGTTAAAAATAGACCAGTGACAAAACATGCCAAGTCATTCTCTCAATAAATTTGTTGAAGAAAAATTATCCATCTTGTATTTTTCAATTAAGGTATAATTAGAAAGTATAAGATAAAAGAAAGGATCGTATATTATTATGCAAATATGTTTAAATAAATTATATGCAACAATTCCATTGTCTTTAGTTTAATTTTAGTATAATGTTACTGTAAAATTTTTTAAATTGTCAACTAGTTAAAATACACTATAAATATGACTTTTAAATTATTACATAAGTTAATCATTCTAATAAATATGACAATACAATAATGAATGACACTGTCAGTATATTTTAATTAAATTTTTTCATCTTTTTTTTTTTGAAGTGTTAGGATATATTCTCAAAGATCCAAATCCCTATTAATGGAATAGAAATCTTATGTTGCTTAATTTCTGGTTTTATTTTTCACTTGTAGTCCCAGATAAGAGATTTTCAAGAGCCAATACCACAAATTTTATATGTAAACAAGAAACTTTGGAAAAACAATCGGCATGAATCTCATAACAAATTACAAAATCAAACAAAGGGAAAAAAGAAAAAAGAATAGTTGAGGCCAAGCATGTCATATACAACAAAGACAGCAAAGGTCTCTAAATCAAGTGGAAATCATACAATTCATCTCAGTTTATGATCATAATGGAAAAGCAAACCACATTGCAATCAGAACTGAAGTGGCAAATAGCCATATCCTACTGAGTGCTGACCAATCAGGAGCACCACTGCACTCATCATTAGCTCCACTAAAGCAACCAGGTTTTGTTATTTTAGCCACACCACCCTCTAAAGTAAAGGTGCTGTTAGGTTTGCCACTGCTAAACAACACACACCAGAAGTAAGGAGACCCCCCATCAGTACCCGTCACTGCAGCACCAACCTGAGTGTGATTCTTACTGTAGAGAATGTCTAAGCTCTTCTGGTTTCTTATGAGGATTTCAGAAAAAGCCTCAGGTGCGTGAACATACTTAGATTGGCATCCAAGGAAACGACCAGTTATAGGAGCAAGAGTTGAGGCCTTAACACCACAAGCAGGGGCAAAAACTTCAGCAAATTGAGATTCAGGAGGCTTCTTTGCATCAGGTCCACCCACAGCATCACAATCACCCTGGTATGCTTTAATGTATTGTAGCGCAATACACGCAAGCCCGGGGTTGTCAGTTAAAGATGATACCTTGTGAGCAGTTCTGTTTTCATTAATCGCAGCTACCAACTTGTCCGCAGGGTTATTAGTAATTTTGACTGCAACGTTTTGTTCATCATGTGACAAATAGGAATTTAAAGAACACATAAAATGCAAGATGTATTATAAGTATTATAATCATATTGTAAGGAAATATATCCAACTATTGAGGATTCAGAACCATAGATGGAAGGAAAGTAGTCATGTCATATATACAAGATCAATGAAAATATCAAAATAAATAATCTCAAGCTAAGGATAACAGCAACAATAACACCAAGCCTTATCTCACTAGGATAAGAAAGCAAAAACTGAGTAGGGAAACCTAAACTAGTGTATCATCTCAAACACATAATACATATGACAAATCCAAAGAACAAAAGAACTAGTAAAATTTAATTAACAAAAAATGAACTGGTTAGTATATTCTCTGCAGAAGAACCAGCCATCTAGCAAACACACTTCCGAGACAAATATAAAGAAGTTAGTCAGCTATCAATTGCTACCATGCTGGGGGCAGTATCAGTCAGGAATTTGTTTTTTCTTAAGCAACAGCTAGTGTTTTGTTTTTCTTTCTTCCTCCACTTCATCATTCCAAACTCCTTTGATAATATCTTGAATAACAAAATTATGGCTTAAACAAGCAATTCATCACTGATAGCTATAGATTTAAAGTGGCCATTACGAATGCTAGAGATTCATTTGCCCAAACTTGTTCTCATACTCTGAACCAACACCAAATTTAAATTGCAGTCTGTTAATATAAAAGAGATCACCAATTAAGGGTTCCATAAATAAAATCTTAGGGGCACTTCCATTGGCATCACTATACAAAAGGGCTGTAGCTAATGAGGGAAAAGAAAAATGATTTCCAGGCTTTGTTTGAATATCAAATGCAGTGGAATGGAGCGGGATGTTTGAGTATCTAAGAGCAAAGTCATAGTTTTTTTAATAGTGGTCAATCCATTTTGTTACTTACCACAGCACAAAAGTTTCAATTTCAAGAAAAGCCACCTGATTATCATATATTTTACAACTTCATTTTATAATCATATCAACACTTATATTGCTCTCCTAGAACTAGAAACACCAAAGACAGAACTAAATGTGGAAAGTGACCGAATTAGCTCCAAAAAAAGTCAGCCTCAAATGGGGTTTTGCTATTATCCACAAAAGATGCACATTCTTGAATTGGGAACTGCACGAATAGTTCAATGACTTTTGAAGCTGATGACTGATACAGCTGGTCGTCTAAATCAAGAAACACCAGATGTTCTTTAACATCTTTTCCATCGGTACCCTTCCACCATTATAGTCCAAGATCCAACATGGCATCGATTTCTATGCCACCAAAGAACATTAAAAAGAACGAAACAGCTTCTCATGAGCATCCAAACGTACACGAGAGTTCTAAACAACTGAGATCTAGTCATTGAACACTTAAAAGTTTCACTGGCATTGTAGAATCTCATCTCATTGAAAATGTCAAAGATAAAATAGGAGCTAGATAAAATAGGAGCTACATTGAAACCCATCAGAAAGACTATCATTAAAATTAAAAAAGAAAACATTTTTAAGTTCTTATAAGGCAGATCAAATTCATGGTACCCCAGACAGTAACAGTTACGTTCCAAATCTGAAACTGAAACCACTAGATAGAAGAAAAACAAAAGAACTTGCTTTAGACTTACTTTGAGTATCAGCAGTAGCAGCATAAATGAAGGCAAGGGTGACGAAAAGATACCACACAGTCATAGTTTTTGCCATTGTTGCTGTTTCATAAAACAGAGAAATTGAACACAGATCTGTGTTATGTCTGCCTCAATATGATGCCTTATAGTTGAAGCTTCAAAATAAACTACTTGAAGAAAATCCACCAACCGAATGGCCCTCCCCAACTTCTTTCTTTTTTCCCTTATTTTTTGGTGTGGTGAAGTACCGTCTCACTTTAATTTGAAAACGATTCTGGAAATTTTATATGATTAGAGCAAGTAAATTTTCATTAAAGAAATAAATTGAAGTTGGTATTGCCACTCAAATTAGTTCATTTTCTGTCGGTGAGGTTAGACTTGTTGTTCAAATTGGAAAATAAAAATCATTATATTGTTTGAAAGGACGAGAGACTAAGGAAATTACCGTCATACACTATTGTAGAAAAAAGAAATGTTAAATTATGCAAAGTATCGTTTCTTTTTCTAATCCTTTTTCTTTTCGTGTTATGATGAGTCCATGATTGTAATTGTAACTAGGCTGGTTCTTAAAATATGTTATATTTTAATTTCAATTTTTTTATAAAATTATTAGTTTTAGTTCTTTTATGTAATTTTAAAAACAATAACATGTAGCATAAAAATTAATACATGATAATCAGATCAACATTTTATAATAATTAAAGAAAAAATAAAAATATAAAAAATAAAGATTAAAAATGTTATAATATAATGTATTTTGAGAAACACAAATAGCATTAACTCTTATAATTACTATATCTACTGAATGCAAATTCAATTTTGGCCGCTGTATTTTTTTTGAGAGATTGAGATCTTCTGCGGTTTTTTTAAACTGTATACGATCTTAGATGTTAGGATTGATTTACTTGCAATAAAATAAAATTTCTGACATAAAAATAAAAAAATCTAAATATAATTTAACAACTGTAAATCACTTTTCGATAAATTTGATTTTAAATTATTAAATATATGTAAAATGTGTTTTTTATTTAAAACGTGTGAAAATTAATTTTTAACAGTAAAGTAAACAATACCATAATTCTTGTTTATTTGGAGGGCTTTTAAAAGCAAAGCATTTATTTTAGAATTATTTTGATTAATTAAACTATTTATATTAGATAAAATAAGTTATGTGTTCAGTTTAATTTATTTTAAGGGAATAATTTCTTTCATCAATTTTATAAAACAATAAAAAAAGTTACTTGAAAAAAAAAACAGCTCTAAAACATACGAAAAATAATATATTACGAATAATCGTATGTTCTGATTTTCATGTAAAAAAAGATTTTTTGTGATTTAAATTTTTTAAAAAATGAAACACATCACATTAATTAAACATAAAAAATACATTAGTAATAAAATATAACTTTTGTTATTATCCAACGAATGCAGAAAATGAAAAGTTTATAAGAAGGAGGTATTTAAAAAAAAAAGAGTATATAATAATAACAATTGGTAATTGTATATTTACAAGGAAGTGGACTATCAAGACACTGTCTAACTTATTTTTTAATACAATTTTATTTATTAATTAAAATTATTAAAAATTATAAAAATTAAGTGAGTTTTGTATTAATTTAATATGATTTATATTTTTTAATAAAATTTAACTAACAATTAAAAATAGGTTAGAAAATTGAAATAAAGAAGGGAGAATAAGAGAAGTGGTTAGTGAAAGACAAGAGTCACAACTAAGAAGATAAGAGTAAGACCCACCGAATCGGTTCCGTTATCGGCATCAAATCCCGCCGAGAGACTGTCTCTGATTATTATGTTGTGTGGACATGGCCTCACTTGCCACCCCTGCGCACGTTAGCAACTTGCATTGTCCCACTTGGAAGACGAAGCGTGTGAGATGCGCACTGTCACCCCCAACATGGCGGGAAGGCCGGCGCGTGGTGTCCCTCTCTCTCGTTCTCTCCCACTTTCTTCTCATTCCTAATCGTATGCGTCTCACTCTTTCACCCAATTATTATTATTAGGTTGGTTTTAGACTTAGTTTTATGATCCACTTTCTTCCTCGTTGCAGGTGATGCAGCCCATGCAAGTATTTTAGATAAGTATGTTAAGAGGTATGATTACTAAGTCATGAATTTTCCTTTTATAGTAATATTAGTGTTTGTAATGGTTAGTTAAGTTAGCTGTTATTAGTTAGTTAGTTAGTTCCTATGATCAATAGTTAGTTTTGTTAGCATTTACGAGTTAGCTTTCATCTTTACATGAATAAGCATTCGTAATTTTGGCTTCCTTAAAATGGTTTAATAATGCTTATCCCTTGAATTACTAGAATTTGAATTTTATTTATGGTAGGTATTGTATTGTTGATGTCGGATTTAAATAAATGTTTCTTAAATCTGATTTGTTTTGGAATGCTCTAGAAAAAAGCTTGATCCTCTGGAGGCTTATGTACCAGCTGTCATACTTACACAGTTTCAGATCAAAGACTTGGGTAATGCCTTTGTTGTGCTAGATACGGATATTAGATCATCTCTGTGATTCCAACATTTTGAATTTTTGTATTGTTTTCCTTCCATGCTTCCAACTTTCCCGGTTTATTTGTTTCTCTATTTTGCTAAGCTAACGATTAAAAAACAAATTAACGCTTTACAAATGCAAATTTATTGAAATATATTTCTGATTGGAAATTATGAGATCATTGTAAGGCCTGTAAACATACATTCTTTCGATTCATGTGTCATGGTTTGCAGCATTCCTAATTGAAGATTGCCTAAGCTTATGCTTTTCTTTCTACTGCTACAGAAAAAACATTAGAGGCTGATGAGCCTCAATTTGCCCTCTGCCGGTCTCTGCTTCGTTCGGGGCCTGCAGCATCACTTCGCATAAATATTAGAGCGGTAAGTAATGGCTTCCTTCAACCCCTCTTGCATTTCTGTTTTATGTGAACAAGTTTTGTCTACTAATTCCAAAAAATTACTTAGAGCTCTATGCTGTGAGAGATTCAGTTGAAAGCCTTCTGAGGCTTTTTGTAATTGAATATAAAGTATTCATATATTTACAGCTTTACACAGTTCCTCGATTCTGTAGTCTGATGCCAAGCTTCTATTTGCTCAAGTAAAAAAATAAAGATGAGGAATAGTAAACTGCTTGATACAGCCCTGCTGCCTTCGTTATCAAGCAAATTTTTGTCTCTGTGTCCGTATGAAGGTTAATTAGAGCTTCACAATCTTTTTGTAGGTGGCACAGTATGCATCTGACAGTGGCTATGGTAAAACTGCATTCAACAATGTTGATGAATGTCTGAGGTATTATAATCAATTTCCTTCAAATATAAGGTTTGGGTGGTGTATGTATGTGTGCGCACATGAATTAACTCTCACAATTAACCTTTTAGCTATAGGCTGCAAAGAAATAAATTTGATCATGATGAAAAGATCAAACATCAACTGAAGAATTCTGTTTCTGAAGGTCGCTGGAAGAACTTGATTCCTTGCTTCTGAATGCATCAAGAAATGATCCTGAAGCCTCAGTCAAGTCAATGAAGACAAAAATCAATTCTGCCCTTAATGCTCTGGACAGGTGATTTGTTAAGAGATTTTCGTTGTTTTTCTAGTTCTTAATATCCCCTCTGCCTGTTGGTACATTTTTCCTCTCGTGTCATGTCAACAACTCACTGCAATATAACTGAGAAAGATGCGATTCTTATAGGCTTTTTGTTTCAGTCTCTTACAAACCGTACCTTCGGATGTGCTAAGTAAGGGAAAGGCTATAGCTGATTCATACAGGGAACCGGAACACGTGGAAACTGGGAGTTTAGACCCTGAATTAAAGCAACTAGAATCGATCCTATGAACAGCTAACACACTTGTTCGCCTTTTGAGTGTTAGCCGCCAGCTTAGTAATGATTGTAGAAACCAAAGTGCCAAAGGTTGACCTTACAACACAAATAGTTTTTTATGTATCAATTTGAAAAAGATTGAGTTGCCGATCTTCTTTTTTTTTTCTTTATCTTCTGTGTGATATAAAGAGCAAATAAAATCATCAACAGATAACTTCCTTGTATGTATATATTAACTAACTAATTTTCTCGAGTCATATATTAAAATCGACCCTTAATTTGTACATAGCGATGTACGAAAGGCTATATTACAATTAGAAGTTAGTTAACTTAGCAAGCGATGAAAACCAAAATAGTGCAGGAATATAAGTCCTGTCCTTCCTTCGGTGGGAATAAAAACTGCAGACAACGTGTTATCTGGGAATAACAACTGGACTTTTTATTTTCTTTATATCTTATTTTCTATTTTTTTTTACAATGTCATCCAAATAAGTGGGATTGTCAGTTGAATATTTGGAAACGCTGGCCCCACTTTTTGGTTGCATTAGTAGGTTTCATTATTCTCCATTTTCTGGATGGACAATTAGGTTGGACAAAGCATAATTCATGCTATCTAATAGTTGGCAGCCTTTACCCATAGAATGCAATCGAAGTTGCAGATATAAAACCCTATTAACATTAATCTGGCGATTTAGCATGCCATTCCGGCAACAAACGAAACCCCACCCTTGCCCCCTCACCCCGCATAGACAAGATCAATGTTGTTCGAATTTCGAACACAATATCTGCTTCAGTACATCAATTAAGAACAAAAAACGTATCAAGAAGGTTGACTTGTCCAGTTTCTATCTTAAAAATTCACAATAACCTCGTTAACCCATAGAGAACAAATGGCGCCATTTAAGCTTGTTTTTCAATGAAATCTTTTCAATATCCAAAGTACAAGACGAAAGTTATGAAGCAAATTGCGTGGAAGATCGATATGACAAATTGACTTGTCCATATCCTCCATTTAATTGTTTTTGCTGACGCTGCAATAGTCAGACAACTATTGCAGTGGAGTGGTGTAGGAAGATGGCATTTAGTCTATATTATTGTTGACCAAAAAAAGTCTATATATATTATTTACGACCAAAAAACTATCATTAAAACTAAACTAACTACAATAACAAGTCAAAATCTGGGAAAATGGATGTTTAAAAACATAATAAGAGCATGTCAAAATTTTCCCATAGACATCTAGATATTAATCATAAATTCCTAATGATGCTAACTGCATATTAATGTACAAACAAGTTAAATAACTATACAAATATGCTTTGTTATTATATTTTGTTAATGATCATAACGCATAATTTACAGCATAATGATATACTATTTCAAGGTCATGCTGCACGAAGGACCAAAAATGTATTCTTCACGACAAACGGATTCATTAGACTGCTTTAGAAAATATAAGCTGAAAATTGAAATGTAAGATTTACAAGAATTTCAAGTACAACAGATAAGTATTATTGCAATAATACATAATAGACCTGGTATCTATATGCCAAACAAACACAAACAAATTAAGAATTTACCATTTACAACACATGAGGAAATAACCAGATTTTATTACCAATAGAACCTTCAATCCAAGTGAACAAGCACTAGGAAAAAATTTGATATTCTTGATCAAGTTCATTAAGTAGACATGCTGCTGTATATACACTTCAATCTTGAACAAATTGCACGGAATCTCCCCATGCTCATTGAGCTTATCTATGAAGCACCACCAAGTATACAATAATAGTTGAAGAACACAACCAAAAACAGTTAAGCATTATTCCATCATGTATGAAAAGGTTAATTAGCTAAAATTACTAAAAGCAGCAGACAACACACAAAGTAATGGAGGAATATAACAAAACTGAGTTTGCTCTCACCTTTGGACAACAGCGAACATCAAGAGTCTCCAGCATAGTGCATTTTGAAATAGCAGCTTCAACAGCTTCTTCACCAATATTGCACGACTGAAAAGCCAAAGCATCAATACCAAAAAATTAATAAAACAAATAGGTTTGAGGCAATAATCAAGGGCCAGTTGGAAGATTTTGAATGTAAGTTTGATCAACAATATCCCAAGCCAATAAATATCAAACATGCTACATTCCTGGTGGAACACCAAAAGCCAATCTCAAATCCAAAACAGAGTTATGCAACCCTTTAGTGATAAAAAAACACCTTGAAACAGGAAAATACTCAATTATATTAAGCTTAAAAAAGGAGCTAGACAACCCAAGCCAAGAAAATTCAGTGATACAAAGCAGGTGAATGTTTTAAAAAAACATTGCAATAAATTTCACTTGGTAAGATGATGGACGATGGCTGATAACAGCTTTAATGCAGAGAATATAACCTACATATGACATAATAATATATTATAATGTATATCTAAAATAAAAAGAACTAAGTGCCAATATTCAAAACATTACAAGTGCATCAATAAATAAATATTAGCAGGTATGATAAATTGATAATACCTGAAGGGATAGAGAGGTCAATCTTGGACACTCTAGCTTCAAAATTTCCAAAGAGGAACAATTGCTGAACAGACAAGTTAAAACATCATCATATATGATGTGAGAAGGATAGATATCAACCCACATTTATTGGACAGCCAACCATACCTTAAAGAAAGAACAGATAAGTTGAGACATGTAACATCAACCTCTTTCAAATTTGCTGACAGTGAAAGCTTTAAAGATGATAAATGGCAACAATCTGCCCTCAATGGAATGACAACCTTCCTAATATTTGGACATCCGACACAATTGAGGTTCTGCAGTAAGCGGGTAGATTGCTCACTTGTTTCGCGGACATTCTCATGAGAAATTGCCCCCAATGGAGTGTTTGCAGCAGGCAAATAGTCAATCTGCCCACGACTGTTTCCCCAATTCAAATCATGCATATTCACACAGCCATTCAAACCCACATGAGTGAGGTTTGTGCAGCAAGAAAGAAGCTCGTCTATGGCTGACCGACAGAGGGTTCCATAAGACAGGTCCAACTCCTGAAGTGCTGGTAACGCACCTCCTTTGTAAAGAGGTTCAAGTGATGTGTCAGTGAGATATTTGCATGCCTGCAACTTTAACACCTTCATGAAACAGGAGAAATCGATGTAGCAACATCAGAAAAGATTAAGACAAATCATATAAATGGTTAAAATTATATGGAATAAGGTGGAAAGAGATGAGAAGAGAGATTGAAATTACAAGGATATGATGTCAGGAGATGAGTACACAATACTAACCATTAACTAAATAGTCTTATTTATACTAATATTCTGATTCAAGTACTATTACAGTGCGACTAGTAAAAGCCCAGCTCATTAGCACTGATAATATTAAAAAACAAACAAAGATAACAAACCATTCTTTGGCAACTCTAACCTCTAGATTAGAACAAGATTCAAAAACAGGCTGCAAGTTCACCAAGAAAGTGTATGATAAGTCAAGAACAGTCAAATTCGGAAGCCCATACAGAGAATGAAGACTTTTTGAACCAATTGATGAGCATGACATTAATATCAATGATTCAATCCGTGGGCATTTGGCAGTTGTTGCAGACAAGAAGTCATCTGTCAGCTGGCTGTAATCGCAAGCAGTAAGCATCAGTCAGCATTCAAAGAGGATACATAAGAAAACAACAAACAACATAACCTGCAAAAGGAGGCATCCAGAGATATTAAGAGTGGACAATTAATGAGTGCTTCAGATAGTACGCCACATCCTTTCAACTCAAGTGAAACCATAGATGGTGCTTCAATGCTTAGTGTGTTTAATTTTGGACATATTCCCAAATTGAGATATGAAAGACCAACCTGAGAAGAAAATGAAGAAAAGAATACACTTTAGACCCTAGCTACTGTAAATCAGAGACCAAAAGAAGTTAATCCCCTTCAGTTTATTTTATGGACCTAGGCCTAAAAACTTAACCCAACAGCATTGCCATCAAAAAGAGGGACAAAAGCCACATGCCTTGCATTGCAAAGTACGAACTTTTTCTTATTTAAAGAACAAAGACAGGAAAACACACAACCAGAAAACTCCATCGTTCATACCAATATTCAGTAGCCTTAATTACATATTTAGCAATATGCCAAAAGCATAAAGAATTAACAAGTTTCGTAACATGCAAAACAAAATACAAAGCATCTTGTAAACCAATACCACTTACTGGACAAAATGAAGCTCTTTCCAAATGATCACAACCATCCAAAATAACTTTCTCAAGATTAGGGCATGTGAGATCAAGATTAGTAATTGCCCGGCAACCACCAAGGGAAAGGCTGATTAAAGAGGTACTGATGAATTGAACTGATGTCAAACTCTGAATTCATTAAAACACCAAAAGTTGAGTTTGAGAAAATAAAAAATAAAAATAAAAAAATTGACAAAGTTATAGCACAAAACTCCATACTTTACAACTTAAAATTTACAATATGACATTGCTGAATAAGATGCCTAGACCATGCATAAGCAAATTTGGGAAAATGAACACCAAATGTAGACAATAACTTATTCACACACCTCGCAATTATCAAGAACTAACGATTTTAACATTGGGCATCCTCCACCATCACTAAAAACATTGCATACAGAGTTAGTCAAAGATTCACACTCAGAGAGATCCACTTCTTGTAAAGATTGGCATTGCAGAGCTAATGTGGTTAAACTGTCCTGCTTTGGTATTGCTAATTTCTGCATTGCCACAAATTCCATCCTTCAGACTATCATAGCATACACAACTATGGGAATGAAAAGTGACAAACATAATTATGACATACTTGAAGTGAATTTGAAGTGATGTTGATACAGTGAAGCGCAGGGCAATTTGACACCAAAATAGAAGAAAGCATTATGGTCATCAAGTTCAAATCAGCAAATCTGATAAGGAAAACAATTTAAAGTAAATTAGAAAAGAAGATACACAAGAACAGATATACAGTGTGAATTGAAGCATCAAAGAAACACACAACAGGCAATAGAGACAGCCATACTTGCGACAGTGTACCAATCTAATATTCTGCAGTCGGGGAAGATCTAAAGACACTGAAGTCAACAGGCTACAATTATCAAACTCCAGAACCTGAAAAGGCAGTAATATCATTTCTTATCTTGTAAGTTTAGCCCAGAAATTTCATTAATATAAGCATAATGGACAAATTGCACACCTCCAACATATAACTATGAGATATTGCAGCCATTGAGGCTGAGGTAATTCCTTCACAACTGTGCAGCTTCAGAACAGTCAACATTGGCAGTCTAACAGACTTCAAAGAAAAGAAAAAAGAAGCTATGTCATATAAATGCAGATTTAATCTATAAGCAAAAAGTGATTATGGACTCAAAAAACACCTCCAAAGATACGTTTGGGCAGTACGATGCATCAAGAAAGCTAAGGTTAGCACAATTCAGCGATATTTCCCGTAATGTTTCATCACTAACACAAGAACAGTTAGACATGTCCAGAGAAACTAATTGCGGGCATGATGTTGCAGCTGAGCGAATAGCAGAATCGGGCAGTTTGTGGCAGGAGCCAACATCAAGCTCTTGCAAAAGTGGGCAATTAAGCACAGCCTGTGCCATGTTACTGCGCTTCAATGACATAGTTTCAAGTTGTGGGCACCTGAAAAAGAACAATCAATCACATTTTAGTTCATTGGTAAAAAGACAACTAAACACCAGCTAAGCCCCAAAATACATTCACCTGACTGCTATTCGCATCACACGACATTTTATTAACTGAAGATGACACAACCTGTCATGATTAATTGATATCTCCTGAATACCACTGCCAAGTATGGCATCATTGATGCTCAGTCTTTTCAACATAGAACAATCGGCCAAAGCATGGAAAAAACTGTCCGCTATATGTCCTCTGCCCAATGTTAAAACCTCGAGATTTCTGAAAATGATGTTACAAGAATCAGCATGAATCACAAATAACATGACTGACAACCCAAATACAACAGAAGCTAACTACCTTAATGAAGAGATAGCCTTCATGACAAGGAAGTAAATGGAAGAACCAGATATGCTGATTGCTGTGGCATTGGGATAACTTCTGCAGATATCCTCAACTATGAATACATAAGCTTTAAATCAGCACATTTACAGATTCTACAAGGAGCACAGAGCACTATTTCCAACAGCCATAGTTGAATGTTAAAAGGCATTACATATTTACAAATAACAATTTATCATCACATATGTGCTCAGGCTCACATTGCTCTACAGATATGTGCCGATCTTCAAAATTCAAAATCCTCCAGAAGTCTTCATGGGCACTAGCAGTTCGCCACTGCTTACAAACCCTGGCAGCTTTGCAGAGATTGGGATGATCCAAAAACGAGAAAACCTAACTTACAAGAGTAGGGGTAATGATAGAGTTTCAAACCATTAAAATAGAAACAAAAAGCACAGTAACTAATCTTTACCATATGCAATAAATCGTCTGTGAGATCCATCTTGACCTCTAGATCATCTGCTTCTGACATGTCACGGTCGTCTCCTTCACCGTCTTTCACAGAACTAGAATCAAAGTTACTCTCCTCACCAGCGGACATCAACCTAAACGCATCATTTTTGGATCGAAGAGATGAGCCTTCAAAATTATCACAATCCCCATTTTCAGCAGACGCAATTGGTTCCCCAGCACTCGAAGACCTTGGAATTGCACAATGAGAGCCGCTACAAAACAAAATGAAAATATCAGTATATGATATTTCACGACAATAACCTTATCCTACAGTTTCCAAGTTCAGAAATGAACATCAAATGCGAGTTGGTAACAAAACCCTAGCCAAGAGTATCAGCATTCCAAGGTAATGCAAATGCCACTCAAGTAGAAAGTGGAACTAGCATTTAAACTCACTCGAAATCATCGTAAACTTTGGCTCGCTTGCGTTGCGAATCGCGAGTACCATCAGCGACATCAGAAGAATCGGAACTACCCTCTCCGTCAAAACGGCGCCGGTTGGACGAAACCCTTTCCACGTCGTCAAACGACATTAATTGCTCCTAATAGAACTTGTGGTTTCGGAAAATGCCTTAGGAATCTTAAGTCTGGATCCCACACATTCTGTAATAAACCCTAGGTAGAAACGGATTTGAAGAGATGGAGAAATTTTTCCAGTGTTGAAATGGATCGGATAGAATCTTGTGAATTACTTTCTTGGATTTTTGTCTGATTCATTTGAATTCTCGTCTTTGCGGAAAGCTAATCAAACATTGCAGGATGTCGAAGACGGCGTTTTCCGTTTGCCAGGTGTTCATGTTATTTATTTATTTTCCACTTTTTCAAACTCGTCCCAGAATTTTAGTTTGAAAATTGCTCTGTCTCTTCCTCCGTCTATCCAAGTGGTGGCAATGGTAATAAGAGCAAAATGTCTTCTGATTCCTCAATGTCACAAGTCACAATTTGATTCCTTAATGTCTTGTATTCATGAGATTGAGCTTTTTGATTCCTCAATTCAATTTTCAAAATCATAGAGAGAAGAATATTAATATCAATTTATACCAAATCAATATTTTAATTCTATTTTGTAATTGTAAAATTGATTTTCAATGACTGTTATTCTACTCACGTTTTTCTTTTAATTATATATATTTATATTTATTTAAAATTATCATTATTACATACATACAAATACACAGAGATATAATTGATGCAATATTATCATATACTTATAATATAATATTAAAGATCATAATATACTAATACAGACTTATAATAGATAGTATAAATTAATTATTAAAAATCTTGAATAAATTTAATCTTTTTAATAGAATATTTAAGCTATTCAAAACACTTTATATACATTTTATTATATAAATAATTAATTTAATTAATTTGAAATTAAATTTAGTTAAATTCTCTATTAGATATATTTTATAATTAAAATACAATATAATTTTGTTTAATTCAAATGCAAATAGTAAGATGTTTTAAAACATAGAATTCAGTTTACCTTACTTTTATTATATTTTATTTTTATTTAATTATTTTCTATTTTATTTCATTTATTTAATCAAATGAGCAATTATTTTGTCTTACGTTTCTATATTTTGTGTCTTTTAGAAGGTCACTATTGTTAATCTATTTTAGTTTGTGTCTCCTATTGTTAAAGGTCAGCTTGTGTCTTCTATTTTCTTTAAATTTTTTTAGTTGAATTTAACTCAATACTGTTAATCTATTTTTCGTGGATAATTTTGTAGGCATGTTAGATTTTTTCGCCCCACTTTAACAAATTGACGTTGCTAGCTTTTAGGAAATTTATAATAAAATTTTAGGAATTTAATTAAAAAACAATGAATTAAATTTTCGGTAAAATTATATTTGTTTATAAATAATTTAATAAAATATAAAATATTATAATTTTAATATTCTCTTGTTTTTTCACGCAAGATAAATAATACGTTTGACAAGACATCTTAATTAATTAAAAACTTATTTTATTAGTTAAAATATTTATTTAGTAAAAATAATATCGTTTGGTAAAATAGTTGTAACTAATAGCTACTGACATCTTTTTAAAACGTTAATCGTATTAACATTTTATTATCTGCAACTAAGTAAAAGTGGTTTTATTATTTTTGTCTCTATTATATCTCCAAGTTATTCCCTTCTTTTATTCAATTTACTGGGCTTTTTTAAAAAACTTTTATTGCCTTAGAAAAAATCATAAATAATAAAAAAACAAATGAATGTCATGACATTAATGATTTTAGAATATAATAAATTATTAATATCTTAAAAATATTTAATAAATTTATTAGTTTTTTACATAAAATTTTTTATAAATACGAGTGAAATTTAAAATATATTTTTAAATTTGAAGATGATAAACAATTTTAAATAGATTAAAATATAAAATTATATTTATATATATATATATATATGATTATTATTATTTTGTTATTTTTATTCATTGATCTTTCTAAAGCGCATATATGTATACGTAGTGGCGGTCCATATGCAGCCTATAAAAAGATTAAATTACAGGTACAGCAAGGAAAAAAGAACAATCAATTCTGTTGTAAAGAAAAAAAAATGACAGTAACTTTTCCTTACAACGCAACTACAACGTTGTAGCAACAAAAGCAGAATAGAGATAAAAAAATGATAAAAGGAAAAAAAAATTATGGATAAGAAAAATTACGGTGAATAAATCTTAAAAATACTTTTAGTTTCGTACATTTGACATTTCGCAAGGTAGTAGTTAACGTAAATGTTGCAATAGATTTGGGCCCAGCTCGTTCTTTTTCTAAAAAAAAATAATAATTTTTTTTTTAAGTTGACAGTATAGGCTTATTTTAATTACAATTGCTTTTGACTAACTGTTGCAGTTTCTGAAATGCATGTCATGTTTCCTTAATATTTTGCTAGATGACCGAGTCCTAATTTCCATACTCGTCTTATATCCATTTGTCTTTTATATTTTTATTACATGATCGGTTATATTAATCGTTTTATCTTAAAAAAAGTAATTTTAGCTTCTGTTTTTTCCCAGTTTAATTTTTTTTAAATGCAACTTTTTTGTCATCCTCATTCACATAAGAGAATAAAAAATCGTGACAAAAAAATACACCTAATGACCTCTTAGTTCCATTATTATTAAGGAAAATATTATTTAAAAAAAATTATATTTTGAAAAATAAAATATCAGAAAAATATAGAAATTGAAAAAACTTTCTTTTCCTATTTTTACCTCTAATGAGTATTCATAGATACCCGTGGGATGTTAAAATATTTTTATCCCATGATTATAAATTACTATCATATTAAAATGTCTTTCTAGAAGTTATACTCAACGGATATTTTTAACGTAATTAGTTTGTAGAAACTTAATTATGAAATATTAGAACTAAAAGGATTTAATTATAGTTTTAAAATTGTAACGATCAAAAATTAAATTTTAATCAATATATATGGGTTTATAAAGTAATTTAACCTGAATTTTTTAAAAGCATTTTGTTTCGAAGTATTGAAGTTAAATGTACTTTGAAGCTACATTGATTACTATTATATATATTTCAGCATTCAATTTTGATTTTCTTTATCTATTCCAAAGAGCAATTATAACTATGGTCAAGTGAACAGATTAAGGAGACAAACTTGGAACTGAAACATCAACACCAGTTAAAATTATTGTCTGAATAAGGCGCATATATATGTGTAGTGGGCGGTCCATAATGATGATTGGTACGCAGGTTCTGAAAGATTAAATTCCAAATGGACCGAGGGAAAAAAGGACTGGTCGACAAGCACTTGCTACTTTGCTGAATATATAGCTAGGAATAGGATGGAAATGACACTTACCATTAATTAAGCTTTACATTTACATCTCATGTATCACCATGACTATACTTTGATCTGCTATGAGCCTATCACTTTGGTCATAGTCCATAGTGTTTGATTTACTTAGATGTAATCCTACCATCAAATCATCGATAGACTGCGAGAAAACCAAAGTCCTTATTAATTTGTCCTATAAATTTCGCTTACAATATAGCTTCAACGTTACATAGTAAACAGCATAAGCTGAGGAGAAAAATAATAAAAAAGAAAAGAAAAAGTACAATGGATAAGAAGTATTCTTACATTCTAGTTATGTGATTGAGCAAGGTTGAGAGATTCTGGAGAAGATTTTCTGTCCTGGCGCAAGGATAGCCATAGGGTCAAAATTGACTTTTCTCTCCAGAAATCTGGTCCATTGATTCCCAAAGTGTTTCATCCATTCCTCTCGTGACTGATAGTGAGGAAAGTATAGCTTGAAATCAAAGCCTCTGCTTGAGCAAAACCGAATAATCTCATGGTTTTGCTCCACCAAGAATTCAGTGGGTGGTCCCTTTGGGGGTGGTGGAGTAAATCGGAGCAATGCTACTATGTAGAAGATGTCGCTGTCCGGCACCACCACCGAGTGACGACTGTCCCACCTGCTTTATTTTAAAAAGTAAGGAGATGCATAAAATAAAAAAATCAATATCATTTTTTAAAATTTAAAGTTAATTCTATTTAAATTTAAATTAATAGTAAATAAATATGTATAATTTCTATTTTTTAAGTGTTCTGACTTTAAAATAACTGAACTGTATTTAGATTATTACATAAAAGGAATATTATCTTTTCAATTTCATTAATTTCATATTGAAGTAACGCATGAGGTCAATTCAATGCGCATGACTTCGACCAGTAATTGTCCTCTTCATTGATCCGAACCGAACCCTGATCATGTATTGATCAATAGATTGGCCATGGGGGACCCTCGAAGAACCAAATTCCACCCCCACGAATTGGTAACAATGTAATCCGGTTGGCGAACAAATATCCCTGTCGATTCTCAATTGGTAACACTGACCATGATAGCTACATTGGTTGGAATTAAAAAGATATTTTAATTTGCAGCTCTAAAGGGAATTTCCCACTCCTCTGACTTACCATTTTTCCCTCTCAGATCAGCAACTGCATGCATGCAGCGATTGTATTTAGTATTTAATGAGGTGGTTAACCAAGCGTAAAACAAATTAATAAAGAAACAACAATTATTTATAAAGAAGATGGTAGGGGTCCCACTGTATCTTTGTTTTCGCTAACCAGCCAGAGCTGGCGAGCTGCAACTACCGCCTTAGTCGATGCACCGAGAGAAATTGGAAATTTGGAATGAATGTCATACAGTAGGGTCGAGCACAGAGTAAGATGGTACGTACGACTGTCAGTATGATGAACAGCTTATGAATCGATTGACGACCAAAATATGGTACACTCGATGGTCCCATTATGGCTGACCTTAACGAATATTTCATGGTCTCCCTTGAAATCTTAACCACCCCGTTCGAATCAGCGGTTCAGCAAGCTCACTCGTTTACCATTACCGACTATAAATTCATAAATATTTAAATAGAATCGACGCCCGTTTTACATCCCTTGTCTCTTTTTATCTTTCCTTTCATGTTCCATTGTATTATGATTATCATATTGATCACTTCTCTCTGTCTGTAAAATTCATTTACGTACTTGTTTGGTATAGTGCGAATGGTAACTACTATAGATAGATGATTATATTGTATAGTATAGTTTGATGAAGGGTAACCACTAACTACTAACTAGAGAACCAAGAACGTACTTGTTTCGCAAGAGGGGGTAGACTAAAATGGGCCCATCGACCCCGTTCTTGAGGATCTTCTTGAACACCTCACGATCAAAATCAACCATGTTCGACTGTGGCACGAACAGGTTCAGCCAAGGATGAGGCGCATCCCAGGTGCCGTTGCGTTTTGCGTGTTCCTCCACACGCTTTACACGTAGCAAGAACTCCATGTATCCCACGTCCAACTGGAACTTCAGACCCTCAATGAATCGTAGCCGTCCAAGCAATCCACTCACATTCTACCACCAAAGAAAGAAGGCAGAGCAGGGCATTAGTGTGAGCAATTAACACTGAACATTGAATATTCAATTTATTTGCTGAACATCGATGGGATACTATTTACGCCATCATACGACCCTCACTTTACAGATTCCAGAAAATGATGGCTTTTTGGCCATTTCTAGAGCTGTGGGGACCGTAACGTCAGCGAGATCTCAATGATCAGCGCTATGGAGCATCTACTGATGTTACATTACCAATTTATAGCCACAAAGGAATGTGACCTCGAGACAATTATGACAAAGCAGAAGCCAAGCCAAGTACACTCCACTACGCTAATTTGAACTAAGGCATTGGCTTTTATGTGCGTCAGAAAATCCAACGGAACAAACATCATTACCGTATCGTCGGTTTTCAGCAACCATTTCAACTTCATCACAGGCAATTTTTTAATCATAACATTCGTAAATAAAAAGGATTAGAACCAGCCCAAAACCCTGGACAACACACATGCTCTAAGTCATCTAGGTGGACCTTGGACGGTAAATAAATTAAACCATCCCCTCCAATCCCTCCGTTGCTAAATTTCATGCTATCGCAAATTTTTCTAAGTATATTAATAATTTCTATTATATAAAATGAATATATAATTTAAATTTTATTAATTATCAGAGGATAAAATGAATATAATTTCTGCTTGTATTGACTCTTTTACGTAGGGCCCCACATAAAATAGTGCTCAACAATTAAGGGAATTACTGGGACCTACTTAGGAACTACCTAGGTCAAAACTGGGTCATGTACTGTACAGCAGATGAGAGAGGAGAAAATAGGGGTAGTTAGTTACCGTATCAACGTGAGAAGGATGATCCTGGTTGCGATAGTGAAGAGCGAGTTCCAAGCAATATAGGACTGGGCCAGCACCGGGAGGGATATGAATCGGGTCGAACACCTGTTCCGGGTCCAATGGCACAGTGGGCCATCCATTGGTGGGCTCATCTTTGTTCACAAAAACGAAGCCTTCAACGTAGTCAGAGCACTTCCCTTCAACCACTAGCCACTCTGCATCCCCAGCGAAGTCCTCAAATTCAGAGTAAACAACCCTTATCCATCTCACCTAATCACACCACCAGAGACATAAAATAAATAAATAAATAAAAACTCCTAATTAATATTAATTTATTTGGAAACAACTCAACGAACCATATCTGGAGGTCGTTGAAGAACGACTCTAGCTTTGGTAATAATACCGAATTGTCCTAAACCACCAAGCGCACCAAAGAAAAGCTCAGAGTTTTGGGTTTGTGAGCAACACAACGTTTCGCCTTTCCCAGTTACAACTTCCAATTCCGTTACGTTCGATGTCTGTGGACCGTAACGGAAAGCTTGACCGCTAACGCCAGCGTAGGACAAGGTTCCTCCCACCGTTAAACCCAGATAATCCGTCCACGATCTCGGGGCTAGTCCGAACTCCAGAACGCACCGTTTAAGGACGTATTCCCATAATGCCCCTCCCGAAACGTCCACGTAAGGCGAGCCATCTATCCACACAACCTCAAAATCCTCCATGCCGCGCATGTCCAGGACCACTCCTTGCTCCGCCATGGCCTGGCCGTTTATCGAGTGTCCATTCCCTCGCGCCGCCACCGTCAGATTCGGAAACTTCGCCGCCGCTGTCACCACTCGAGCGACGTCGGCGGCGGAGGCTGGTCTTATGAAGGCCAAGGGTTTGACGGATTTCATGCCGCCGAAATCTTTGGTGGCGATTCCGGCGGGGCCGCAGTCGTCGGTGGTGGCTTGAAGGTCAAGCGCCTTGGACAGGCTTGAAACGTCGTCGTCTTGGCTGGATTCAGTGTCGTTTGCATGCACGAAGTGCTCCAGGTAAGCTATCATATTGGCAAGTGTTGTTCCGGAGACCGGTTGTTTCAGGTATGGAAAGTGGCCACTTGGACTCGGTTACTAAAATTGTGAGCATAAACTGAGAGTGCAGTTCTTGCAGGTGAAGTTGGGCGTTAAATAGCGGCTGATTTCGACTTATTTGGAGTTTTCTCGGTAATTAAATAAATAATAATTAAAAAAAGTGAAGTTAGAGTGTTATGGATTCATTAGAATTATAACGTCATCACCTCTTTCAACATTCCGTTGACGCTATGATCCCTCCCACATCAACTGTCTGCCACTTATACAAATTTTCCAATTCCTTAAATTTTATATTCATCCCAGTAATATATTTCCGGGTTATTATATTTTCACACTGAGTAAACATTGTAAAGCGGATAGAAAAAAAAGTAAAAATACGATGAATGATATAATATAAATAAAAATGAGTACGAATGTAAATGTGACCATGCTCGTCCCGTGAGCTTATCTCGTGCATTTTAGGAACCGATACGCATACGTGTGGTGGAGGTTAACATTACGTTAGTTAATTAGGACGAAAAGTGTACCCCCACAATTCCCCAAATATATGAAGCTATCTTCTGTCTTATTTCATAGTCTTGCCAAATGAGTAGTAAAGATCCACATAATATAGGCAAAAGACCAGAAAAATCATTTCCTCTGCCGTCATGGAACATCGCTACGCCTGCATAAGGATAATGTAAAAGAAGGAAAAAACAACCCTGGTATTTCAGTCAATAAAAACTAAGCAACAGAATTTTTTGTTCTAAATATCATTTATTTCACTCATATAGTGAAATTAAATTGTACCATCTTTAACTCCAAGTCCAATTCCTTTTTATTTATAAATTATAATAAATGTTATTTTAATATTTCAATACAACGTTTTTTTTTTTTTTTTAATACTGTCCCAGACAAATAATGAATGTAATAGTTTAAAGTATCGTGTTAGTAAAACTTTTAATAAATAAACAATAGTTGTAATTAAGTGAAATTTTTTCATTAACTAAGTTGCTTATTGGTGTATTGAAGCTTTGTTTTACAAAATAACTTCAACAATGGTCAATTTAAAATAGAAGAAATAATACTTCGTTTCGTCTAACACGTTTACTAGCACCAAACTAAGAAATTAGTTCACGCTCCAATTATTAAGCTGTAATCATTTACCATATCAATTATTGATTTCCTATTAACATGTTTGTCATCAATGCAATTATCATTCAAAGCCATGTTGTTTGGCTGGATGCATATTCTTAAAAGTAATTTAGTTTTTTATTACTTAATTAGTTATCATCGTGTTTATTCACTTGTTTTAAATCATTGGCAAATGCAAAGGAAATTGATTGATAAAAAAAAAAAAAAACAAAAATATTATCAATACAGCCCTTTTATTTTTTAAATCAAACTACTGATAAACAAAACAAAAATTTCCACTAAAAATATTACTAATACATTTTTTTATCATATTTAATATATTTATAACATGATTTTTTAGTGAAATTTTATTATTGATTGTTTTTTAACCATTTATCTCAAGACACTGGTTAAGAAGACCCTTAGATTATTTAAATAGCCAAAAGAAGTCACCACTACCTTTCTATTGACTCTCGTGCCCTCATATAATGCTCTTTGTGTTACTTATATGTGTGTGTTATTATTTTTAAATTGTACTCTTTTTATTTATTTTTAAGTGTTTTATGTATTTATAATAAAAGAAAGACAACTAATACTAAAAATGATATAAAATCAATTTTTAATTGTACCCTTTTTATTTATTTTTAAGTATTTTATGTATTTATAACAAAAGAAAGACAACTAATAATAAAAATGATATAAAACCAATTATTATATAATTTTTATATAAATATGAACATTAACTACACCTTTTCATTTATAAAATACTCTTTTAAACTAGCAAGTGGAAGACAAATAGAAGGAATATAGGTTAAAGGATGGACACATGTAGGATTTAGCACCTCCTCATTTTTTTAACACACATATGTAACTTTTAATTTTTCGTATAAATGTATAATGTTGTGGTTTTTTAATTTAATTTTCATATTAAACCAAAGTCTTTATTTTTTGAAAATAAATACATTTAATCAACCAAAAAAAATATACATAAAAGTCCCATATCAATAAATTAGAAATAAATAAAAACATATTAATAAATAAATCTGAGTCTTTATCGTTTCTTCAACAATCAATGAAATGTTAAGACCTTTCAACTGACATCCTGTATTTCTTTTCAAGTCTGGTCAACGAATCAGAGACAGAGACAAATAAAAGATGATTTTTTTTTTTCTATTTTTACACATGCTTTAAAACTTGTTTCTAAAAAATTAAGAATATATTTTTTAATTATATATCTATTTAATATATAGTTAATAATTTACTTCTTATTGATCACTTCTCTCATTTAGTTATCGATCAAAAAGGGAGTTGATAAAATGTTAAAGAATAATAAATAAAATAGATAAAATTTAAATAAGGATATATTAAGTATAAAAATACTAACATTTTTAACTATTTTAATCTATAAATATTCTTGTTTACAAAAAGAGTGACTCATATCTTTAAAAAATATTATTTAGCATTTTTTGTTTTTTATTATCAAAGAATAATAAACATTTTGTTTTAGTTCATATTTATCTTGGCTTTAAGGAAATTCTTATAGTTTTCATTACATGTGTGTCTATTGTCACTTTTAGATATTTATTATTACTTTGTAATGATTTTTTTTCTAAACTATTTGCTCTTGTCTCTTATAATTATATTAATAGTAAAACTAATTTACATGATTGTTTAAATTAAAACTATAATACCCGTAAAAGTAGTACACAACACATTTTTCTAATTAGATTATTTATACTCAACTTAAAAAGAAAAAAGCAGCACTTAACCACAACCGTCTCAGATAAAGGGACATTCATATTCGAGAATCCGAGGCATCTATCACACCTTGAAAGCAGGAAAATTCCAAAATAAAATAGCATCAAGATTTGGATATCCCTGGATAACGTGAGAAAAGATATAAAAGTACAATTATTTTATTGATAAACTGGGAAGAAGACTTAGTTGCTCACAGCTTGGGAATGAAAAGAAAATAATATTGCGCCATTAAAGTGAAAGGCTGAAAGCGATATCTGAGAATCACACATATTTTTATTTTACAACTTTGAGAGCTAAAATCTTATTAGTTTTACGTAAAATTAAAGATTTGTAATTTGTATACACTTTACTATTTATTTATTTTTGTGTTATATCACTCGTCATTTTTTTTAATTATCTCTCACTAATTATATATACTTTGTGAATGTATAAGAACTGTTTTAATTTCTATATTAAAAATACTGACCTTTTTTTTGCCTACCGCTAAAGACATAATTCAATTTGGACGGTCAATTTTATAATTCAAACCCAAGGTCAGCACTAAATAATATTCATTAACGAAAAATATGATAATATAAGAATCAGTTGTCACTAATTTAAATTGTCCTGCAACTTACTACTTTAGTTAAACTATTTTGTGTTATTATCTGTTCAGATTTCACGATAATTATATAAAGATTTAATTAGTAGGAGATGTTTAAAAGTATGATATAATAAGTTAGTATGATAGCCTCTGTGAATATGTCTTAAATTAGATAATTATTTTAAATCGATAAGTGTTTTACTTATATATTATTTTATGAATTTTTAATATATTAAGTAGTAAAATAATTCAATGTTACTTAAGTAAGATTTTAAGTTTGGGTATTTTTTTATATAATTTTTTTTTAATATTAGACTCATCTATTATATTTAAGGGCAATTTGAGTTAAATCTGAATTAAATTAAATAAAAAATATTAAATATACATATAAAATATATTATTTATAATAAGTTAACAGTTTTTTTCTAAATCAGATTTTGAATTTGAAATTGAACAACTATTTATTTTATTTGTGCGAATAAAAGAGAAGATTAAGAGATCACGTTAATTAAAGAAGGGTTTAATTTGTTTAAAGTGATGTGATATGTAATAAATAAATAAAATTAAAATCAAGGAAGGTATATATTGTTAAAGAGAATTAAATATACACTATTATTTAAACCAGACACTTGTTAGTAAAAAGAACACATACACTGTGCAATGGTAAATTTAGAAAACATGTATTGGATTGAACGCATGTTCACATTACGCATTTGATTTACATTTTCAGTAGTTTTATGGTCGTGACGAAGAGTTTGGATGAGTGTGGTTGTTCTTATCCACGCTTAACATAGCAGTCAGGTCCTACTGAACCAAGTTTTATCGTTTATTGCGTTCAGATTATTGACTTTTGATGTTAAAATTGAGGGATGTTTTACAATCAGATTCTTAAAAGATCCCAGTCACGTCAGTTTTGATTTATTGACGTGTGTTTGGGTTGAAACTCGCCGTCTAAAAACCTATCATCTTTGCTTCTTATTAAAAGCGCAACTTTTGTTCTGCAATTTGTCGCAGTCATGCATGATAAGCGTATTATATGTCCTCACCTCACATGTTATAAGCACTCACACTTCATGGTTACTTTATCTTTTATAGGATCATATATAGGCACCTCTTTCAATATTCCCAATTTTGTTATATTTTGGAAAACTATCATTTGACATTCACCAATTAAGTGTAGAATAGATACTAGGAATAGAACTACATTTCATAACAATCATAAAGTCTTCTCGAATCTTATTTTTTTATTCGTTGAATGATTTATCTAGCTCTGTATATAAATTTTGACTCTTTTATTTTAAATTAAAATATTTTTAAAAGCTATTTTCTTTATTATGTCACGCGATTTATTTATTAAATATTTTTCAGTTAATTTCCATTATTTTAAATTTTAATACACCATATTATATTAAATATATATACTTTTTAGATAAAATAAATTTTTAAATAATTGTAGTCTTGATTTGTTTTAAACAAAATAAGTAACAGTGATTAAACATTAATTATTAACAACAAAAATGTTTATTTATTTTAAATTTTTTAAAAAGTATATTTTAAAAACATTATTAATTTTTTTAATTTAAGAATGTCAGCGTAATATATATATATAATTTGTTTATATTATAAAGGGTGCCTTAGATTAATGTGACATATCATGTAACTATTTAAATTAATTGTAGATAATTGAAGAATGTATATAAATTAGTTAATTTTATTAAAATGTGTATTTTATGTTTTTTTATTTATTTTTAGACAAATAAAACCTGTAACAGAGAATCAAGTTGCTTTCCTTTTTCTTTTCTTTTTTTCTTATCTTCTATTTTTCTGACTCTTGAGACTTACTATGTGTGTGTGTAGTGTGTAGGAAGTTGGGGTTTTGAACAGAGAGGATATGTCAGGATTTGTATGCCATTACTAGACAAGATAAAAAAAAGTTAACCACTGAAATTTATGGAGATATTGTTTTAAAGAATATATTTTGTTAAAAAAAAAAGATCTAATCATTTGACGAGTTTTATATATAGTTTAATTAATAACAAAATATATTGAAAAACTTACCATGTTTACTTTTTTCAATAATGGATTACCAAATAGAAGTTCAACTAAATGCAAAAAAATATATTATTTCTTATTCAACGTGACTTTCGACTACACAAACATGTCTAACATTTCTTGCGACTGCTATAATAATAGCAATTGTAAATTGTGATAGCTCTCTAATAATGCTCATTGGAATTTTCAACTTCAATTTCAAGTTTATTTATTGATGTATTTATTTGGTCAAGTTAATTTCAATGTTTAATTTGTGCTCATGTATTGATTTTTGGGCCTCCAGTAACTAATAGCGGGCTAGTACTCACTTTTCTTTGGTCAAGGGCCAGTACCCAATGCAATGATAAGTTATAACCCAAACCCAAGAAACGGTCAATGACCATAAAAAGAATTTTACACCTTTCATATAATGTTATTTTATTTTTTAGTAACGATATTCTTATTATGAAAAGTATTATCTTACAATAAATTATTATGAAAAAGTATTATCTCACATTTGTGTGTGTGTATATTTTTATCATCGAAGTTTTAGTTCTTCAGGGTTCGGTACCGTTAAAAATAGAAACTAAGGGTTAAAACTTAAATGAGTAAACAACATAAGTATGGAGCCAAAGTTCAAATACACACAGAAAAAGCTAAACAAATGATAAAAAACTATAAATGCCAGAGTCTTATCATAGCCTAATTTCTATATACTATCTGCGATTCGTATCGCATTTTATTAATTACACAAACATGTTAAGAAACTCACAAGCGATTAATTCATATCCATTGATGGGCGTTTAAACTCTTTTGCAGAAAACAAAAACCAAACGAGCTTATTGCACAAATAATATATTACATGAACAAACTAACTTGTTGGAATTAAATGCGGCGAATAACAATGGGAGCTCCACGTTGTGGCTTAAGAGTGATGGAACTAATTGGTGCATGAGCATAAGAGGGTGAGAGCTGGAAAGAGAAACGTTGAAGAATCATAGCCAGAGCCATCTTTGTTTCCAATAAGGAGAAGCTTTGGCCAGGACAGATTCTTGGGCCCCAACCAAACGGATAAAAAGCAATATGATCTTTTGAAGCTTTCGAAACCCCTTCAGTAAACCTATCTGGTTTGAACTCTTCGGGGTTCTCCCAATAATTACTATCATAATGAAGAAGTAAGAAGGGTAAACAAAGCTCCACGCCAGCTGGGATGGACATGCTTCCTACCCTTGTTTCACACCGAGTGTATTTATTGATCATAGTTATAGGAGGATATAATCTCAAAACTTCATATAGTATCATTGACACCTGCATATAGTCAAAAATTTGGGGTCAAAATTTGGGTTCAAACTAGTTTTTAGAACAGTGTACAATTCATTTATTTCCTTTGATCGACTATGTTATAAACTTACTGTCTTGAGGCGATTTATGGCTTCGAAATCTGGTGCTTTTCTGTCAATAAGCTCCAAAACCTCTGCTCTTGCCTTTTCTTGCCAATCAGGATGCATAGATAAAACTATCATAGTCCATGCAAGCAGGTTAGCTGTGGTCACTTGGCCAGCAAAGTAAAACAATTTGCATTCCTCAATCACATCCTCAGTTGTTAGGGAGTTACTTTGTTCTCTACATCGTAGTAGTATACTTAATAAATCACTTTCTTTTAATTTACCCTCCTTCATTGCTTGCTCTTTCTTCCGAATAATATCATGTAAAGAAGCTTTGATTTGGACATCTAGGTTGTACCTTCTTTTGTTCTTCGTAGTTGGTAAGAATCTAGTAATTAAATCATACAAAGTGGGATTAGTAGAAATTCCCCCAAAACAACTTTTTGAAGGTGATATATAGTTTAAAAAATTAAATGTTAGGTTGGCCGGCCTTAGAGTTAATTATTATAAGGATTGTTTGCAAGAGAATAATGTTGTGGACGACATTTTTAATGCATCATTATCGTGTTGTATTTTTAGAATATAAAACAAAAAATTATTATATGCTTCAAAAACACACTTTGTCTAATATATTTTTCTCAATTAATTGGTTTTAATAGAATTGTTCAGATAAGGAAATCCGTTTGGAAGAGACACAGCTCTATTTTTTCTTTCCTCAACAAATTTCACACGTGACGTTTTAATTAAATGTCACATCAACACTACTGCACAATTTTCTTTGATTTCTCGTGTAATGCACCTTTTGCCAATTAATTTAGGTGAATCAACGTTTTATATATATGTTGGTTGATACTGAATATTATCAATTATTTACACTATTTAATATTTTTTTTATAAAATACGATATTAATTAATTTAATTATTAAATTATTTTATATTATATTTATGATTATCTATATTAAATTTTATATAATTTAAATATTGTAAGAATGTTATTTAAATTTTGTGATTTTGCTTATATTTTAAAAATAAATTACACGTTGAAATAGAATAATATAATAAAACATTTATTTATTTTATTTGTGTATGAAATTTTATAAAGTTAATTGTTTGATAAGAATAAGAATTTTTTTATTTAAAAATGAAAGAAATAAATATTGATCACTAAATTTTTGTATATTTTGATTTATATATGGTTTAAATTGTCTCTTATATACGTAGAGAGAGAGAGAGAGAGCAACGTTAACCTTCATATAATAATTTACATGTCATTATATTACATAAGTGACAGAATAGATGTCAGCAGCTTCACAGAATTTTTGTTTTTTTAAATCAGAAATGTTTGGTTCCAAAAAGATTAGTTGGTAACTTTCCCAGTTTCCCCTCGATCTTTACCTAGAAAATAGAGAAAAAAAAAATATATATGTGTATTCGGCTTAGAAAGACCCACGTGAATATGTGCGCTTTTGCGTTTGACCGTTTCCCTTCTGATTCCTTGTCAATCAGTTTTAAAGTTTGCATTTTTAAACAAGAAACATAAAGGTTTGTGTATTGCACCTGAAACCCGGGACATAGATGTTGTTTAAGGCTTCATTGACCAAGATTGCTTGCTCCTTTTGCAGTTGAAATATTTTCTTTCCCTCTTGGTAGCTGCTTCCAAAGGCTGTTCGAGCTATAACATCACCGGTGAGAACATCGAATTCTGAAGTAGCATCCAATTCACACGATCCTTGGGGTTCTACTAGTTTTTCCCATCTCTCGATCATGCTGCAACAGCTGGTTGAAAATGCTGGCACCATTGCCTATACAGACTAAAAGTTATTATAAAGTTTCAAAGAAAATTATAATCTCAATTTGCATCACTATCCATATTCCATTATTTCCAAGACATGTATAAAAAAATAGAATGTCACCTTCAACTTCTCAAGCTGGAAAGCTGATGTTATTACCCTTCTGCGTTTGTTCCACTTATCGCCTTCCAGTGATGACAATCCTAATGTTAGAAGACTGCTAAGGGGATTACGTGGTGGCTTGACAAAGTGACCATTCTTATTTGATAAAATCAACCGCGTAAGTTCTGCGTCCGCTATTATAACTCTTGGTCTTCTTCCAAACCAACACAGAGAAACATTTCCTACACAGTGTTACAAAACTTATAACATTGAATGATCATACTATAGAATAAACAACCCTTGGTTGTATATTTAAAGTAGCTTAATTACCATATTGTTGAACCATTTTGTGAACGAAAGGGATGACTCGAGGGACGATTTGGTGTTTGAGGGGGATCGCTTTTGACGATGCTTTCTGGGCTGAGTTCTTCATCTCTGAGATGTCACCGGCAAAAGGCTTGAAGGAAGAGCCTCTGATCCCTTGTTGCCTCAAAATTTTCTCTATATTTCTGGGTCTCCACCAGAAGTTATTCACAAGTCTAATCATAACATAGAAGACAAACAGGGCAAAAGAGGATATCATAGTTTTGAAGATGCAGTCTTCCATGTTTAGAAACTAATAGAGCAGGACCAAAAGGACTTCTAGAATATATCTCAGAAATGAAGACTAGAGAGTGAGACTCGTGATGAATATAAAGAATGTTTTTATATCTTTTGGCGGACATTTTTAGGTTTTTTTATTTTTAATGATAGAAATATTATTATATTAAAAAAAAAACATTGTCAACTCACTATTTAACATATAATATTTTAATATATTTTAAACTATCGATTAAAATTTATTAATAATTATTATTTATAAAAAAATTATACACGGTCCCTAATTATATATTATCGTATTAGTGAAAATAATTAATATTTATATTCATTAATATAAAATTAACAGTATAAAAATTCTTATATCAGTACATCAAAATTAAACTCTAATTTATAATCTTTAGTTGACTGTTTCGTTAAAGAATCAATTTATTTAAAATATTTTGCATAGGTATTAAATAGACAAAAATAACTTTACATTTAACACAGGTGTTGTTGTTAATATTATTTAAACTAGATTGAAAAAATGACAGAATTTAAATGTTATTTTTAGTATTTTTCAATATTATCCTTAATTAACATTTTGTTATAATAATTAATGATAAATTTAAATTTCTAATCTTTTAATAAAAGAATATTTAAAAAAAACATAAAAATATCTAAAAAAAACTATATAAAAAGAAAAGAAGTCTCCACACGCTGAAATCGCCTTGTTTTTATCACTAGTAACTAAGTTATTGTATTTGTTGCGTTATTGTTAGCCCTACTAGAATTTTTTGTTATTTTTGCAAAATTTTCTATGAGTTATCATTGAAATTTTACTGAAAACATGTTTTTTTTATATATAAAAATTTGAATCAATAAAAAAATTTGTGAATAATTTTTTTTCAAAATTTAAAATTTGCAAAAAAAAAATCCAACAAATTTTTCATAGCAACATATTTGTTTTTCGCAGCAATAAATTTTGTAAAAAATAAAATAAAATTGATACTCTTACAACTTTCCTACAAATTTTGTTGAAGAACAATTTACAAATACATTTTCTACAGATTTGCAAATAAAAAAATAAATGTTACAAATGGCAATAAATATAGAGATTAAAATCTCGCACGGTACAGTTCTAGCACGTTATATAATCCCATATTTGAGAAAAGTATGTCTAATTCATGATTACAGTTACCTTAAACATGTAGGATCATTCGTTACTAAATTTAAAATAAAAAAAACAAAAAGAAAATTATCAATGTCAAAATTGTAAATAATAGACCCAACCTGTAGCTGCTGAGGTCGACCTTGGTCTTTAGCACTATAATTTCTATTGTCACCATTTTCTAAAATGACAAAAACAATGAGTTAGAATTTGATAACATCTTACTAAATTTTAAAGCTCACACTCCTTGATCAAGACTCATATTAGCTGGACAAAGACTATTTTAACATCTGATAATTTTATTTATTAGTAAATGATAATTCTTTTAATGTAATTTAGTCTAATTCACAAATCATAAATTTAATAATTTGAAAATTTTTAAAACAATATAAATATATTTAAAAAAATGTAAGAAAAAAATAAAAATTTAATACGTGTACAATTTATTTTGGTTTATTTTAAACATAAAAAATAAAAATTATTTTTTCTTTTTAATTTTTTAGTTAAATTTCAGTTTCCAATTTCTTGTTTATCGGTTTGGTAATTTGATTTAGTTGTGTACACCCTATAACAGAATAGACGTTTCCTTATATTTCTGCACTAAAATTTTCTCTTGGATCGTTTAATAATATTTTATTGAATTACTGTATTTTAAAATTAATCATTTCATTAAATATTTTTAGCATGTAAATTATGCATACAATTTTTAATTAATTTAAAATTATTTAATACCTGAATGATACACTTCAAATTAAATTAATGTAATACATATTTTTAAAAGATATAAAAATAAAAATACTTTAATTTATTTTATAATTATTTAATTTAATAAAATTTAGGATAAATAATCAAGATAATATATATAATTGTAGCATATAGTGATTGAAATAATAAAAAATATATGTAATTTATATTGAGATGCATTACATACACTTATATTATTTCAAATATTTTAGGAAATAAGTTTATCCTAAAATTCACAATTAAATTAAACTTCTTTATCACATAAATCTTGTATTCAAAAACATTTTGTTATCATAAGATTTGTCTCTGGTTTATAACTTACCTCTCAAGCTCAAGTGAATAATTTGAATATTTTTTTAATAATTATTCGTCATTTATAGTATTTAAAATAAATAATAAAATAATATTTATTTTTTTATTTTCTCTAGAATTTTAAATTTATATAAAATAATTTGTTTTTATATTAAATTTTTATGAATAATTATTAAAAATTTATCTAAATTAAACTAAAATTCGTTTGTATAGAAGAATAATTGAAAAAGACTCCTTGGTCTTCAAGGTAGTGAAATAATTGCTGCAATCCCAATTTTGTCTACTCCATTCGAAGATGTGAAGTTCTGTATGTTTATGGATCGTGAATCACGACTCAAGCATATTCATATTCATATATAATACATGCATGCACGAGGAAAATATGAAATGATTAGGTAACTCGATTAGTTAAATTGCAAGAGTTTGAATTGGGACACATGACTTAAAAAAGGAAAGAAGATAATTGTCAAAAGGCATATAACCAAATAAATATTTGACAAAATAATATATGCAGTATTTATTTTATTTATTTACTTCGTCAGTCTCTTGATTCTAAAAAATTTTAATACAATACTTAACTTTTAAATCTAGTTTTATAAAAACTATTAATTACGTTCATTGTTTTTTTCTTCTGCCTTCTCTTTAAATGTGGGTAATCTTTGATAATAAAAAGTAAAGAAAAAATGAAGAGAGACGAAAAGTTAAAAAAAATAAAAAAATATTATGAAGTAAAAATAACAATGACTGAAATGAAATAAAATAAAATAAAATATATAATATTACGTATAACATCGTTTACTACGTAATCAATCATGGTTATTTAATTACCATTGACTTACAAATATGTAAATTTAAGAGTTATCTTTTAAGAAATTGACGTCTTATGGTGCAGGTAGAAGCTACAGCTAGCTAACGAAATGAAAGACAGGGTGCAGGTGCCAGGTGGCCCTATTCAAATTTGAATTTGAGATTAATTTACATTTGTGCCCTTTAGATGCTACGGACACGAAATTAATGGCGGAGACAAGAGAACGACGTAATGTACGGGTCATGTGCGCATCTATTGTATACTTCCAAACCATTGTCAGAACCTAATTGCTAGACACGTGTCTTTTCCCTTCATTGTTATCGCTGCCATTGCTTCTATCCACAAACAAAAACAAACTTCTTTATAAAGTAATATTTAATGAAATAGACAATTATCATAATTTTAATTAAACAATACTTTTAAAACACTGCCACATATTCACCAGATAATATTAATTATACGTATTCGTCAATATCTGCAAATATACAACCAATATTTCCATGCTCATAAAATTAATAGGGACAAATATTATACTATTCGCCTTGTGAGTATTGCTTTCCCATATTAAATGTATATTTAAATGTTATAATTTTTTTATCATATAATGATATAAAATTTATTTTATAATAATATTAAATAATGTTATATAATATTAATATAATACAGGTATGAATACCCACTAATTTTAATGTGTATCGATACAATTAGTGTAATACAATTAGTTTCCTTAATATAATTCTTTTTTTACCTTTGCGATTTTGTTGATCATAAATATTATATATGATTATTGAGAGATAAGACTTATATTAAATGAGTTAAATATAAATATAGAATATTAAGATGTTTTTAAACAAAAAAAAAGTTACAGTTTTTTTAACCTCTCTCGTTCTTGAGCAATGACTCACATACAAATTCTAACAGTAGTTGTGTTAATTACGAATCTCTGCCTTTTTTTTCCTGCTTTTGTTTAACTTAAATACAAGCCCTACTAAACTTAGTACAAGGTAAGTCACAAATTTCTAACAAGCCATGAAAGCTCACACCTGTTTCTTTCCCCAGTCGTGTCATAGGCGTTGCTTTTTGTAATTGTTTTTTTTTTCTCATCATAATCGAAGAAAAGGAAAATGTTGAGAGCCTGTCATTTTTTTTAATTAAGAGATTTAGCTAGCTGTTAATGTATATTATGGAGAGAGAGACAGTAGAAGTTGAGAACGCCCGATGACACACTGTTATGTTGTTTGTTTTAAAGAATTTAAATTTCAAATGCGCCTACGGTGTTAGCTAATTAACATGACATGATTATATTGAAGAAGAAAAAATATATAAATTCTTATAAAAAAAAGTAATTATGATTAATCATAGAAATTATTAATTAAATTTTTTAAATATAATTATATCATATTATTTAGTGACTTAGAGAGGATCTAAATCTTTCAACGAGAGTTCAGACGGGGTTTATTTCCATGATAGGTTTTGGTCAATTTATTTTATACATAACATATAAAAGTTTAAATGTAACAAAAACATGCCTTAATATAATCATGCTCTGAAAGCGATAGAAAAGTCGTATCTGATATCACATTGTCTCCTTGGATTTAATAGATGAATGAGTTAACTCACCCTCTTGTACCCAACAAGAACTAATCATTTCCAACGCTTCAGGCGTCCTTTGCACCATTCCACATTGAATCCCACTTTTTCTGATGCAGCCTCACTATGAAATGCCCAATACCCTTTATCAGCAACTCACCATTGATGATTGTTGCTCATCCACTGTAAGGCCAAACCAGAGTGGTCCCCATCTTCATCAACAGCACTACTATTCACAATTTCACCCGCACTCAATACACATACAGCTACAGACAGAACAACAGTGGGACGTGTACGAGCATGCTTATCAATTGTGTCAACACCACCCACATCAATTTCCAGAACAAGAATCCACTGCCAGAGTATCCTTTTGGTAATTCACATTTTCTATTAACTCGTTGCTTTTTATGTAATTATTACTTTTCTGGCACCACCATTGTTTGTGTTGAAATTGCAGGAAATCATTCAACACAGTTGTCTCTGATGCAAAAGAAAAACAGCAACAGGTAAACGAAAACTTTGGGGAGCTTGAAGCTGTGTACAACACACATGTTGGGAACAAAGAAAAGACTCTTGCGGTTGAGAAGTCGCACACGAGGAGGGCTAGGAAAAAGAAGAGGAAGAAGAAAGTGGAGGGGTTGGTGACGAGGTTCTTTAAGAGGTTGGTGAGACGTGTGATTAAGCAGCAAGAGGTTCTTCAGAGGAAGTTGTTGGAGGTGATTGAAAGAATGGAGAAAGAGCGAGCAGAAAGGGAAGAAGCGTGGAGGCGTGAAGAAAGTGAAATCCATGGCAGAGAAGCTGTTGTGAGAGCGCGTGAGCGGGATCTGGCTTGTAGGAGAGAGTCATGCATTGTGTCGAGCATAGAGAAAATAACCGGTGAAAGCTTGGTTCTTGTTTCAAGGAAGCGAGACGAGCAAGAGCAATTATCTACAATATAGCGGTAGAGACAGACATTCTCTGCAAATGATGATGAATCTTCAATTTCAGGGAGTTTAATGACAGTGTACGTGGAGAGAACAGCGTTCGCTGTTGCACTCTGGATTCCCCCAAAAATCTATTTTATGTTAACCAATTTTTCATCTCCATTATTCCCCAATCCGCTTTTTTGTTTCGCTCCTAGTCTATTTCCAACGCTAGTAGTATTTTACAATATAGCTAAATCTGTTTTTTATTTTTTTATAAACATGATTAGACTTAATTTATTTTTATTTGTATCTATTATTACTTAATAGAGACACGACCTGTATTTAATTTTTTTTTTACTATTTATTATCTTAAAATAATTATTCATATCGTATATATAATTCATGCAAGTTATGTCACCGTTACAATTCTTATATATTTTTTAAATTTGTGTACCATTACATAATAAAAAAAATTAATAAATAATAAATTTTATTAAAGTCTTTAACATTTATTGTGTCGATTTAATTTATTGCATTATATTTTATAATTTATAACATTTTTTTTATTTCTTCAATTAATATAGTAGAAATTTGCAACCAAACTTAAAAAATAATAAAAATATATACTAAGGGAAAAATGGTGATACAAATTTATTACGAAACAATGAGGAATAACTTGTGACTCTGTTTAATTAGATAATAGTAAGTTAAAAATAAAAAAAATAAGCTGGAAATTTAATGAAAATCATGTTAGTCAAGACAAAATCAATTAATTATAATGTAGCTTATTTTTGTTAAGTTTAAATATTTAATATTTTCATAGACAAAAAAGTTTAAGATTTTAATCGTTTGATTACCATGATGTAATAAACTGTAATGTGTATGGTGTAGATAAAAAAATTACAACTTAACATTTTACTTTTCTTGAGACTGAAGTATTAACTTATTTCTTTAAATAATTATCTATAATTAATTCTATCTTCTAATTCTTTGTCTAGATGATATATTATAATAAAAAATAGTGCTAAATGTTGATCAGCAAAATAAATTTAAAGTTTTTATCTATTTCTCACTTGAGTAAATGTTTAATAAATTTGAAACGATTTTTTCAGACATCAAATTTTGTACGATTTGTATCTAAATAAATGTTAATTAATTAGTTATTTTATTTATTTTTGTATAATTTTTATTTTAAAATTATCTGTTCTGAAGTTTTTTTTTTAATTTGACCACTTTTAAGTAAATCATATTGATTTTTAAAAAGCATGTAAAATACTACTTAAAATTTAATAACACATAGAATAGTCGGTTAAGCATTAAAAAATGGAAGAGTCAGTTTTTCTTTTTTGGTCAACAGAAGAGTCGGTTTGTGCATCGTATAAATTCTTGCTCCTCAGGCTATTATATTCATTTATTCAAACTTCGCCTTAAACTTCTGGTTGGTCAGGAAAGACAGAGAGAGCTGTGGAATGGCTTGGAGTCTAACTTTGACTCGTATACACACACATTGTGCAGAGAGTAGACAACTTATTAAACAGTAAAGAAATCTTGGTAACACGGTATAAAAATTGACATTAAAGTATCCAAAGGATTTTAATCAAATTTTTATTTTTAGAAGTTTCTATCAGGAAATTTTGGTTGTCTTTCTTGACTTTTCTTGGTTGTTTTTCGTTTCTTCGATGTATTTTCTATCAGAATAATTTCATAAAACACTAGTCTTCAGTGAAGACTGATCTTGAAATCTGGGTTTCGAATTAGACCTCTTAATTTAGAATTAGACATTGGTGAATACCAGTATCGAAATCTTGGTAAGACATTATGGAAAAATATATTAAACTATCCAAAGGATTAGAATCCAAATTTTGCTTCACTTTTTCCTTCGAGAAGTTTCGATCAGAGAAATGTTTTTAACCTTCTTGACTTTTCTTGGTTATTTTTCTCTCCTTTGATGCCTTCAGTGAAGTCTGATATGCAAATCATTGTTTTGAATTAGTGACTTTAATTAATTAACTTGAACTCTTATTATAAGTGATAATGAGTCAAGATGAACTCAAAATTGTGACAGAAGGGGACATATTTTGCTTAAATGAATTGTGTAGCAGGGGAGATGTTTTGTAGAACAGGACGACACAGAAAGGGAGATTATTAATCCGTGCTCTTGGAAGAGGCTTTATGCAAGGCCAAACCCTATTACTTAGTCTTTCAAACGATGTTTGTTTATCTTAAACTATAACTTTTAGCGTAGTGGATTCACCACTGGAGTTGGAATCCTCAATTTGTGACTTCTTTCTGAAGGTGCTGTCAGCACGTATTTGGTTCAAATATATGGTCTCTATGCGTCTCTTTCTTTTCTATAAATGACTCAAATTTCGACAATTTAATTTATTGAATTTGGATGCGCCATTTTCCACTTGAACTTTCTTGTCTTGATGTTTGAGGGCATTTATTTATTTAGTTGACTAGTTGGGAAGGGAAGGTACGTAAAGTGTTATTCTATAAAAGCACTATAGAAGAATTGCTGCCTAATATACCCAACAAAAGAATTAAGGGTTGACGGCAATTAATCTTTGTTCTTTTCTTTTGATTGTTATTCACTCATTCTCCTGTTTGTGTTGCAGACAACATCACCAACCTGGATCAATCTCTTGTACGTCTCCATGGGCAATGTAGAAACTAATTTTACCTCGTTTTGAAACTCATTTTTCATTTTGAACAGTGGTAGAAGCCTGGAATACTGAATTTGGTCTCACGTTGTGGATATCTCTAGGAGTGAGAAGGATTCCTCATAAAGCAAGTCCTTCTTCAAATAATGTAAACACTGGTTGGTTGTCATTCTCAAGTTCACTCAGCATATTGTTCATTTCTCTTCATCACGTGTTCTTATGCCTGACAACTAGTGCGTGCAGACTTGTATTGTCTACTGTACTGTTGGGCTATCTTTATTATATATCCTTTTCATTTGCTATTTAGAGAAATAAAATGAACATTTCCTTGATTTTATTCTATTCATTTCTGACAATAATAATAAAAAAAAGGTGTGGCCAAGGGACATGGGGTTAAATGGTAAACTAAATATTTATTTTAGTGACTTTATTATAATTTTAGATGCATGAAATTAAATCTAAATATTCATTTACTGGAGCTTTATGTATCTGTTTTGGATCGAGAACAAAAGTTTCACAAATGTACACTTCTTTCTACAAGTTTAGTGCAATAGATAACACAAACGAGAGCATTATCCATCCCAATATGAAGTATCCAACTACTCTCGTTGGTCCTACATCCTCAGGTTCCTGCCACGAAAAAGAGCAAATATATTTTCAGGGGTAAATGTTATATCCTGTGACAAAATTTTCTCGCTAATATTTTTAATAATTTATAAATGCAATAGTAAATAAAGATAAATGTATTTAATATTTAAAAAACATAAAATACTTGAGTTATGTTTGAGAATTAAGTTTTGAAGAAAAAGGGAAGAAAGAATAAAAGATTTTTATTTTTAATTAACATCCTCTAATTTACATCTTTTTTAAATAAAAGCCATAAAATGATATATCAATTTGATGTGTCAATTTTTAGTTACTTGTATAGATATTATATGACTTTTAAATTTAAAAATAAAATAATTTTCCTTCTCTTTCTTCTTCTCCAAAATTTAACTTATACTTAGTCATTAAAAAGATTATTATGATAATATTAAAAGAGCATTAAGAATACTCTTGTTTCGGCATATCATATAATTGATATTACATCAATTTCAATTTTCATAATCAAATATATTTTTATATGTGAAACGTGTAATAATTTTTTATTGTATTTTTCTTCGAAACCCCCTGTGCTCTGCTTTATTTTTGGATCTCTCCATCTATTTATGTTATAATTATGATTTATGAAATAATAGCAATCAGCAGCAATTTCTTAATAGCAATTATCTTTTATATATACATACATTGGGGTGAAAAATTTAAAGAAAAATAACATTTTATGTATCATGCTCCTTAGAAAGTAGTTTAGAATGATGAAAAATAGGAAAAAAAAAATACTTACCCGAGGTGGAGGATCTCCTGTGGGGATTAGTGTTATGTCAACCTCATATGGCCAAACGTATTTGTCTTTATTTTCCGTTCTGGCCAAGCTCCAGTCATACATTCTTCTTTCATCTTCGGAAGACAGAATGGTGTATGATTCCTATAGAAAGGTGTAGTAACTCAAATATTCATGAACAAATAATACAAAATTGTACTCCTAATTCAAATGTGGATATATAAACACATTACTTACTTTGAGAAGTTCTAATTTTTGACCGAGTTCTTCTTCCTCTAAATTTTGACTCTTCAATTCTTGAACCTTCTTATTATAAGCAACCGCCACCTGTTAGTTAAAAGTGTAGAGGGAACAAGAGAGACAAATGTTAAAAAACTTAAAATTCATAAATAAGTTCATACAGAAAACCGAAAGTGGTTCTGATGGACCTTATCAAAGGGGCATCCTCTTGGAATACCTAGTCTACCATAATGATCTGCGTCTGTAATTGCTGCATTCTAAACACTTGTTTCGTCAATTAAATGCACTTCTATAAAAGGATATATAGAAAAAGTATTTTGAATAACGTACGTAAGCCGCGGAGAGCCTTGTCCACGTTAAGAGCAGAAATTAAAGACGGTGGTTCTTGTGGAACTTCAATGGAACTATCTGAATCTACCTCTGTGTTAGAGGTCTCGGCCGAGACATCACCGGAGCTTCTGATGCTTAAGAATCTACATGGTTTCACAGGAAAAGCAATGAAACTTGAGAATCCAATTTTTGGTGCTTGAGTGGTTGGAATGTTTTTAGCTGAAATGTAGACGGTGGCAATGGTGGAGGACACGGCCATTGCTTCAGCTTTCTGTTCCTGGGCTTCTCTTCATAATTTACATGCGTGCATGTGGATAAGGTAACCCTTCTTTGCCACTAAGATGTTATCAGTTGTGGACCGCATTAAAGTGTTATTATTTCAATACTTAATGGTATCAACAAAGTCGTTGTAGTATAGTGGTGAGTATTCCCGCCTGTCACGCGGGTGACCCGGGTTCGATCCCCGGCAACGGCGCTATTTTATTATCAGTTTTGCATAATATTTTAGCATTATTTAAGTAATTTGTACCATTGTTAGGAAAGCTTTGTGGAATCGAGTTCATTAATTCAGGTTCATTGGCAAGCACGTCTTTATTATCTACAAATTGTTTGGTTTGAGAAAGACAAAGGGCAGGGTAATAATTTTGATTTTACATGTGTGTGTGTATTTAGTTTAGTTAAAACATTTATAAATATTGTTTTATGTTAGTAAACGGGCTGATTCATAATGTCAGGGCCGAACTATTAAACAAAGCAATCCAAAACACTTATGTGGGCCGCGGGTATGCGGATCGTGACCTATGTATCCAACTCTATTTAAGGGGGATGAAATCATGACAATAAAATGGGGGTAAAAGGGCCAAAATTTCGATTCTTAAATTTTATTTTTTTCTTCCCATAAAATGGAGAAGTTCATCTCTTGATATCCCCTGATAATATTGTAATTCAGAATTGAAAGGCTTTAATATAATTATATATTTAGCGGTATAATTACAAGTGTTGATGGTATTGATCCATATTGAAGCAAGAGTTTTGAGCATTATGATCAACACTTGGACGTTGAGTTTTTCTATTTTCCCCGACATAAGATCCAGGTGATGATTTCTTTTAAGGGTTATGTTGTTTGAATAATTACATATTGATATTATATAGAACATTTATATTTAAATATATTTTCATTTTATTATTTTTTTAAATTTTGATTTTTGTTTTTAAATTTTTTTTAATTCTAATTTTTTTAATTTAATATTTTTTATCCTTATTAATGACGTAATAAAAAAAATACGAAGACTTAATAACTTTAGCTAGCAACACGCACCATCACTGGGAATCAAATCGTTGAATTAATGAGTTTGAGGAAAGTTAATAATAACAAGGAAAAATAGATCACTGCACATCTACAGAAGAGGTACGATACGATGATGTTTGACTAACACAGTTTTGGTGGAAAATAAGGTCATGAACAGGGTAGAGCTATAAATTTTACGAAGAGAATTTTTAAGTATCTTTCTTTTTCTTTACCTTGATATGTTTTTGTTTTTGTTTATAAGCCTTCTATGATGTTAACTATTATGTTGTTTACATAAAACTTCCAGTCACTAAATATAGCTTTCAAGAATTACGTAGTCTGTATTCCATTTTCTTGAGTTATGCATTCGTGTGAAAATTAATTACATAGAAAGGTGAAGAAAATAGTGAGGTAAAAAAAACATTATTTCAGCTCATCACTTCATAAAATAGTTGTAGTTTACGGAAAATTGCGTCGTATAATAATTCAAATAATTACACCATCGTTACCCATTCAAACAAATTTAAGAATTACTATCTTGAATTTTCCTCGTCCCCCAACTATATAATTATGTTTTGACGAGTGTTTTTACCTTTTTCAGCCTTCAATGGCAAGACTAAAGCTGCTTTATAAAATTGAAAAGAAATATCAAATCCCTCTAAACAAATTCATATTATATAATAAAAAGACTTTTTTTTTCTGATACCAATATATATATATATACACATCGAGTCGTGATTTAATAAGCAGACGGTACAGGTTTGATATATGAAATATAATTTAACAAATTTGCCAAATTTTAAACCAATAAACAAATATAAATTGACAGAAGAAGTTATCTATATGACTTTTGTTTTCCATTTTTTTAAAAGAAAATGATTTCTTGTCTTGTTTAAGATCCATTATTGGTTTGGACGGCGAACGCAGCTAATTCATTTGTTTATCAATCTCATGAATCTTCAGTAACAAAGGTCTCTCCTTGGTGGTCAAAGTAACATGGGTTAATGAATCATCATATCCAAATTGGAATATTTATTAATTGCAATATTCGGCTGGACGGCATTATAAAATCAAAATGGAAATGAAGTATGTGATGGTTCGTGACATGGGAAAGCCATATTCTTCTGATTTTGGTCACTTTTTATATATACGTAAGTAGTAGTGACCAGTAGGAGACATAAGATAGTGATTATTTGGGGTTCGAGAAGACCTCTGCATTTCTTAAACCTTATCTAATCGACATCAAACACTTGCTCCAAGTCGTCGTGGAAAGCCAATTTTGATTCTTCTTGGATAAAAAACACACATAACAGGTGTGAATGTGATGTTATCATGGAGAGTGTCCGTTGCATTAAGGAAAATTGTCAGATTTTAGTGTCGGGCAAATTTAGCTGTAGTAAAGCCGTGTATCATGTGTTGACATCACGTGATAAATGTTTTAGCCTAGTAAGAGTCAAATGCGCGGAAATTCATAACCAATAGATAAAAAAAATTAGACAGTTTTTAGTTTTTTTTAATTTTTCTCTTTAAAATTATAAATTCTTTTTATTTATATATAGAAACTCTTAAAAAAAATGTTATGTGAATGTAGTTCTAAACAAAACTCTTAAAAATAGAAGCTACTTTTTGAATAATCAAAAGCCTAAAAAGTAGGACTTCTATATATAGAAACTAATTGGAGAAATTTTTACTTTTATTGAGAAGGGAAGTCTAACAAAGCTGAGTCAAATTAATAGTTAGTAACTTTTATAAAAGGTTTACCTTTTAAACTTTTGTTTTTTCATAAGAAAAAAACTCTTATTAACTAATATTTTAAAGGTAATGATTAAAAATTAAGAAGTAAAAAAATAAATAATATATATTCTATCTAGTTTCTTTTTATAAGAAACAAAATAAAACATTTTTTTGTCTTTATTATAAAAAAAAATGATAGATTTAAAATACATTAATTATTAAATTTTTTTTATACCATTCTTTTATTAGTATCATTAAATATACAAATTACTAATTATATTATTTAATATCATGGATATTTTTAGAATAAAATTTATATTTATGAAAAACATAATATAATTAATTATTTTTTTTAGTTTTGATGATTTAGTCTTTTGTTTCTTATAAAAAAAAATTGAAGAAAGTATTATTTTATTTTTAATTTTTTAAACATTAATTTAGTTATTTAAAATTATAAAAATGTAATAAATATTTTTAATCAAAATATACTATTATTAGTTATTTATCTTCTACTTTAGGCTGATGTTAACAAATTTTTTAACTATTTAATAATAATTTTAAGATTTTGATAGGTGACTTTTTAACCAAAATAATATATAAAAAAATAAAAATACTGAAATAGACCTGTTCCAAAAATATTTACCAAAGTAGACCGATTTACTGTTTACGTACAGAATTTGACTTCTCAAAAATTGAATTTTGATCTTCAAATTTGTGTCCGTACAGTAGATTTCCAAATGGAATTCGATTTTGAGGCAACCGAATTCCATACATAATTTGCATTTATGTTTTTGTATATAATAAAAAAATATTATCTAATATTTATGTTTATATATTTATATTATGTTAAAGTTATTAATAAATTAAATATGGAGAGCGGTTCGTATTTAACCGCTCTTAGAAGTCGACTTTGTCTCAGAAATCGACTTTCTCGCAGCATATTTAAAGGAATTTATAAAATGAGGGGACGCATTTGTCACACAGATTAACATAATATAAATATATAAACATAAATATTAGATAATATTTTTTTATTATATACAAAAACATAAATGCAAATTATGTATGAAATTCGGTTGCCCCAAAACTGAATTCTATTTGGAAATCTACTGTACGGACACAAATTTGAAGATCAGAATTCAGTTTTTGGAAAGTCGAATTCTATACGTAAACAGTAAATAGGTCTACTTTGGTAAATATTTTTGGGACAGGTCTATTTCAGTATTTTTATTTTTTGTATATATTATTTTTTAAAAAAATTCTTTGATAGGTTTTCAGTTTAGTTTAATGGAGACAGGTAAAATGGTAAACATCGATGCATAGTGGGGATACCGCACACCAGGCGCACTACCGGGTAGCCACCAAGCACGCCTGCTGATGAGTTGAATGAGTGCACGAAATTTGCTGCTAACTCATAAATTATGTCCAAACTCCCAAGGAAAAGATTATTCAGGTTTTTATTTTTATCATAAATCTGTTCTATCTCGGTCATTGAATCATATATGGTGCATATTCTACGAATTTCCTCCGTTGTTTTTTTTATGTTAGAAGAATGTTTTGTTTAAGTGTTGCTGTCGCTAAATCATTGTCATATTGGGATTTGTCTCTTTTTTAAGAAAACAGTAAATATTTTAATCTGTCCTTAACTGAAACAAAGTCGTTTAAAAGGTCTACAAAATCTGGGGATTATGTATAGTTATAAGACTGATATTCCTTGACAGGGAGAGAAGAACTGAAGAGCTATGACAAGATAATAAACCTGGATTTATGTTTGGGCTAAAAGATACACTTGAATGTGATGTATATGGAATTACTTACATCATCCAAGATATGAGAATCATTTACACGTTAGAGTTTCGAGTAGGCAAACAACAGTACTATCAAAATCATGTTTAAACAATCTATATCGAAATATTTAATTTAACAATCCAACAACCAATTTGCAAATATTGGCGCATTTCCCTAATTTGTATTCTAGATAGAAATATTCAAAAGCTTCTGTAGATTCATTGCTACGAAGAAAATATATGAATTCGGATTTTGTCTTTGCAGTCAAAGATGGCAGAACAGATTGCATAGTCCTTTTATTTGATATTATAAGCATGAATATTTATCACAATAGCCTAACTTTTTTTTATAAATCTAACCTAACTTAAGAGTTTATTTAAAAGGTTATTTTATAATAGATTTAATTATAAGAATACTATTAAATAAGTTATTAGATCTACATTTATAGATAAGCTTTTAAATAAATTAATAAATCTATAATTTTAAAATATTATCGTAAAAAATTAATA